TTTTAAAAAAAAAACCGCAAAAAATGCCTTTGTAGGCAATTTTTTCAAGATGGCGGCAAATGCGCACCAGATACGTGTAAGGAAACTTCAGATTCGGATGTAGCGACCCAAAAATATGTAGTGGGCCAAAAAAATAGCTGTGTACCCGAAACTCTAGGTAGACTTACTAGCCTGGACTAGACCTGGCCTGGCCTGNGGGGGGGGGGGGGGGGGGGGACGGCTCGTATTAATGCTTACACTAAAACTTTGGATTGCAGGACCCGGCGTGCACTAATAAAGAAAACCATGCGCATGCACCTCTGTCATTTCCCGCGGTTGGCCATATATCTTTGTACACAACTAAGAATAGACACCTTACCTTCCTCTTTCTAATACAACAAATCCCCATACAGTCACAGTAGATAGTTGAGAGGGTGGTTTCATAACGGAATGATGTTTTAAGGCATTTGTAGCGAGTCACCTACACATACTAATTTAAGGTCCGATTTCATATGCTTGCATTTATGCAAACTTAAAAACATAATCACTAAATATCTTTCTTGATAATATCACCATGAGATCAACTCGACGGAGAACGGAAAGAATTGAATAATGATGAAATAGTCTTAAGAGAGGGCAGGCCCGCCACAAGGGGGATACTGGGTCCCTGGTACCGGGGTCCGGGCTCCGGAGAGGGCCCGTGTTACCCGTGAAAAACAGCTACGAATTCACATGCTACCCTTGTTTCGTAAGAAAAAGTGAAAAATTTACCCTAAAAAATTCGCAAAAGGTGAATAGATTTTCAGGAACACATTGGGGCACTGTAGAATTCTTCTTAAATTTTCAAAGAAGTATACTTCTTGGAAAATTTGTATCTCTTTTCAAGATTTTCAGTACAAAGGGATATTTTTAGTAACTGCGTTTCATTTTCTTCCGTCGTCAGATGCTAAGGGTCTCCAGTCTGGGCATCCTCAACTTCAATGGCTCATGGCTCAACTCCCTTGCCGTAGACAAACGAAGGGGGAGTCCAGGGGGGCCTGGCCCTCATGGGATGTGGCGAGCCTGCATGAAGCCTATTTCCATTTGAATCATCCGTCACATTCATACGGCGCAATGATACAACTATGTGAACTCTCCGGAATGCGTGAGGTATCACGCCGCATTTGAAGGCGTTTTCAAAACGGCCAAGTTCCGTTATCGGAATAATCGTTTTGCATAGTTCATATTATTTTGTTTCCATTTCTAACCATTTGTTTCATTATAATCCTCCTATAAAAACCACCCATTTGCTAAATACAATTCTAGCTGAAGCGCACTTAAGCGCATTCATAACTGCAAAAATGTTAACGAAAATCGAAAAGGCCAGCGTGCATGAAGACTATTTCAATTGCAATCTTCCGTCGCATTTCTATGGCGCAATGATACGACTATTTGAACTCTCCGGAATGCGTGAGGAATCACGCCGCATTTGAAGGCGTTTTCACAACAGCCATGTTCCGTTTTCGGAATAATCGTTTTGCATAGTTCATATTCTCTTGCTATATTCAACCACTCGTTTAATTTTTAATCCTCGTAGAGAAACCACCCATTTGCTAAATACAATTCTAGCTGAAGCGCACGTAAGCGCATTCATGACTGCAAAAATATTAACGGAAATCGAGGGGCCAGCGTGCATGAAGGCTATTTCAATTGCAATCTTCGTCGCATTTTTAAGGCGCAATGATACAACTATATGAACTCGCCGGAATGCGTGAGGTATCACGCCGCATTTGAACTCATTTTAAGGTCGGAAGGCACATCAGTCGTTTTCAGACTGAAGTGCAAAACCACGTATCTCCATTGCGGTGTTTCAAAATTTCCGTTCTTAATTCCTGAACTCTTCCATGAGAAACAATCCAAATTTACGGCTTTAAATTTTGAACCAAATCTTCTGCTATCGAATACGAAACATCATGGAGAATTTAAGTTTCATGTTGACCAGCTTCTCGAAAGAAAAATAAAATTTCTTCGGAAGTCTCCAACGTCGCAAATGGAGAAACATCGTCTCTCATTTTGCCCGAAAAGTATGTATGCATAAAATTGAGGGCATTATGACTGGCCTCTCTCAACTTATATTCGTCTGTAACGATAAACAATGGGACGCGCATGCTACGGCGCCTTGATACAACTATACAACCTTTACGGATGTCCGTATTGCGTTCAAAAAATTGAAGGCGTTTTGACTTCCTACGCATAATACATGTACTTGATTCGATCGACAAACGCGTTGGTCGGCGGTGACGGGCGGGGACTTGATGCAACTATTTAAGCTTGTTGGATGTCCGTATCGGTCCGACTGAGGTGCGAAACCACGTATCTCCATTGCGAGGTTTCAAAATTTCCGTTCTTAATTCATGAACTCTTCCATGAGAAACAAACCAAACTTACGACTTTAAATTTTGAACCAAATCTTCTACTCTCGAATACGAAACATCATGGAGAATTTAAGTTTCATGTTAACCAGCTTCTCGAGAGAAAAATACAATTTCTAAGGAAGTCTGCAACGTCGCAAATGGAGAAACGTCGTCTCTCATTTTGCTCAAAAATATGTATGCATAAAATTAAGGGCATTATGACTGGCCTCTCTCAACTTATATTCGTCTGTAACGATAAACAATGGGACGCGCTTGCTACGGCGCCTTGATACAACTATACAACCTCGACGGATGTCCGTATTGCGTTCAAAAAATTGAAGGCGTTTTGACTTCCTTTGCATAATACATGTACTTGATTCGATCGACAAACGCGTTGGTCGGCGGGGACTTGATGCAACTATTTAAGCTTGTTGGATGTCCGTATCGGTCCGACTGAAGTGCGAAACCACGTATCTCCATTGCGAGGTTTCAAAATTTCCGTTCTTAACTCATGAACTCTCCGATGAGAAACAATCCAAATTTACGGCTTTAGATTTTGAACCAAATCTTCTGCTCTCGCATACGAAACATCATGGAGAATTTAAGTTTCATGTTAACCAGCTTCTCGAGAGAAAAATACAATTTCTAAGGAAGTCTGCAACGTCGCAAATGGAGAAACGTCGTCTCTCATTTTGCTCAAAAATATGTATGCATAAAATTAAGGGCATTATGACTGGCCTCTCTCAACTTATATTCGTCTGTAACGATAAACAATGGGACGCGCTTGCTACGGCGGCGCCTTGATACAACTATTCAACCTCGACGGATGTCCGTAGTGCGTTCAAAAAATTGAAGGCGTTTTGACTTCCTACGCATAATACCTGTAGTTGATTCGATCGACAAACGCGTTGGTCGGCGCACGGTGGATCGATTCAATGGGAGAGGTCGGTCATGGAGCGTTGTGCTTCGAATTTTACGAATATTCCTGGTCATTTGATCGATTACATACCATTTTTCTCATGTAATTTTTCGCGTAAAAATCATTTTTAATGTTATTTTTGGTGAACAACGTATCTGAAGACCCGTTTTTGTGCATTTTGTCGAGAAAACTATACAGGTGCAAAGTTTAGGCGTCTGTGTTTTACTTCGTAGGACGGAGTTTTTAATTTTTCATGATGGAAGAGGATAAATTATGAATGAACTTATGAAAACTTACAAATAAGTGTCACAAATGCGCAAAAATACCTCCCCAGATATGAGCTGCTGCAAAAAACGAGCAACGCTAAAAACCATAAAAATTCCAAAATTTCCCGGACTTGTAACGGTAGAACGTACTCGCAGTGTAATTAGTTTCGCACTGACTGCACTTTGTTTACATCGAAATAGGTGAAACATTGAAAAATATGTACGTACTTGAGAGAAGCATCAGCTATCAGAGTTCACCGGTGACCGGTCGCGCGCGATCCCGGAGGCCAACAGATAAAATGGCATCATAGTCAGGGGCCAGGCAAGTAAAGGGGGGGGGGGGTTACTTGGTAAAAGTTTCCTCAAGCTATCTACGTATACGTCCCAAAAAAGCTTTCTAAGGGATATAGAGGGATGTTTAACAGGGCCCGAGATGGGATGTGGCGGGCCTGAGAGAGGGTGTAAATGTTTAAGCTTTTTTGAGGGTTCTCCTCTTGGTCCCTAATTAGCTTTTGGGTTCGGGTACCCATTCCCTGAATTCTCTCACAGCACCTGAATTTATCTTCCAGGAAGATGATGACGATGATAAGAATGAAAACTTGAATGCATATATTCACAGATTCTGAATATTTTTGATGCTGTTGTCTGATTTCATGTAAGAAATTGGAAAAACTATAAAAGCTGTGGAAAAGCTGAGAAAATTAGAAGCTTATCCAGACTAACAGAGCCTCTAGATTTCTATAGATAGGGTGTTCTTCTTCATTCTTTCTCTGCATGGTAGAAATGAATATGTGAAGAATATATGCAGAATATGTATTGGAAACAATCTTTTGAGAAATATTGGTAAAAAATGCTTTTGCTTGTGAGGCCCAGCATGATTACTTTTGCGAACATTTTATCAAGTTCTTGAATTTGAATTTTCTGAATCCTTCTGTGCTACATAATTATTATTATTATCATCATCATCGTCGTCATCATCATCATCATCGTCGTCAAAGGTATGAGCAGGCATAGCTTTAGGCAAACTCGCACTATGTGATGGTGAGAGATTATTGTTTTAGCATACTATCAGTAGTTAATCTATCAGTATAAACTATTCTTCATTCAACATCAAGGTCATAATTATTCTATTCAAAATATTTTGTTTAGAAATTTTACCATTCCACGCTGGATAACATACATATGGATAACGTACATATCAAAATTGGATAATGCCATTTCTTTTGCAGCATTAAATAAATTATAGAAAGAAAAAGAAAGAAGTTATTAAAAAGAAAGTTAAAGTTAAAGTTAAAGAAGTATTAAAGTTATTAAAAAAAAGAAGTTATTTTTAACTCCAGAATTCAAGAAGATAGGAATAATTTACATTTTTCACTTTGGTAAATATTGGAGGGTTGTCTTGTTTGATTTTGAAGTATGTAGAGGATAAATAAAAGAATTGAATAAAAATTACTATGAACTTTACTTCACTAAAAACTAGTCATATATACAAAATGGTTGAATAAAATTACAAAAGCTCTAAAAAGGCATCTCTTTTGATCTTTAAAAAGAGCCGGAAGTATAGACTTAAAAAAAAAAGTGTGTAAGTGATCAGCTTACATTCAGCTTATAATCATTATATCAGCTTATATCAGCTAGTATCCAAGAGTTAGGTACGCATCAATGACTAAAGACAGGTATTGCGTCATCTTAATTGCAACGTTGAAAAATCTGTGAGGATGCTTCATTTTCTTCAAGGAAAACTAATGGAAATGTTTCCTTGCGATTATGTAGTATTTTTTTTTTTTTAGATTGATTAAAGAAAATTTACAAAAAATGTCAAAAGAAACTGTTGATTGGTTTCCCTTTAAAAAATTAAACATAGGCAGACACTTAGGAAGATGCAATCTTGGATAGGTATTCGTTTTTTTACTTAGGTTATCGATGTGGCATAAATTTTACAAACAATCCATATAAAGGTTAGCAACAAGTCGGCTAAAAACAATTGCTGCAACACCTTGGCTTGATCCTTCTTAAAATCACAGTTTCATGAGATTTTAAACTTGTGTGCTCCAATTCGGTCACAAAAACTACCAATTCAATTTAAATATGGTGCTGAGTGAGACAATGCATTTGATACTCTGACAGCAGGCAAGTAGATTATGGTCAAGTATTTCAAAGAAATTTACTCCATAATTTCTCTTTTTTGTAGTGCAAACTTGTTCTTTAAATATTTTCCAACAATAATTTTTTGACAAGCAACTTATTTTTTGAGCTCCCGTTTACTTCACTCTAGTTCCAATAAAGTGCTCAGTTTTTAACATGATTGAAAAATCTTTAACTAAATGGCTACAATTACACTAAGATGAAAGCCATATTTACCCATAAATATTACCACATAGCTTGATCACTGAGATTATTTTCGGAAGGATAACAAATCTATTGTTCAACATACATTGACACTATTTGATACATTATGTCTTAGATTTACCAATCAGAATAATTTAATTGAGTTCTTTAATTCAAATCTTCCACAAGATATGCAGGTCGATTGGTGAATCATTATGGAATGACCTTGATCGATAATTCCCTATCTTAACAACGCTATACATCGATCAAGATCATTTGATAACGATTCAACAATCGAGGCACTGGTATTACTCTCTTTAAAGAAAGTTAGAAGTGGGGCTTACTTTGCTTGCACAGCTTCCTTGATCAAGGAAGCTGAAAATCCTATTAATCTTGAGTAAACAGTAAATTTTTAATTGAAGCTTCCAGAATCAAAACCAGCATTATCAATTGCAATCATTCCATAAATCTTCACCAATTCAAACTTTAGAACTGAACCAACAAAGATATTCTTTTTAAAATGCCGCTTTCTCTTCTTCTTCTTACACCAAGAAGTAAAATTGAAAAAAACTTCAAGTAAAATATCTTTTTTTTCGAATTTTTTTTCTGTCCCATTGGTTTTTTATCGGAGGAATTAATGAAATGAAGAGGTACTCAAATGTTCCAATTAATTTTGCTGAGTTTGATTCAAGAGATTCGCTTCTGTTACAGAGCAAAACATTGAAATTCTGTGAAAGGAGAAAATACCTAGGTGCATTGAAGAAAAGATACAGTTGGTAAAAATCTTTTGAGAAGGGGAAAAAAAACTTTACAACATCATGAAGGATTTAAGGAAAACTGCATGTGCTGTTCTAATTCTTGAAATCGTTTTCTCTTCATTTTCGTCCAGAGAGAGCTTTCCGATTAACTTTCTGAATTCCAGAACTTTTCAGATTTTTACAGTAAAGTTTCAAGAAGAGCAACTTCTCTACTGATCAATTTACCAGAAAAATCTTTGCTTTTTATGAAAATCCTGAATGGAGTATGATACATCAGGATAAGGCACTCGATGAGAGAACTCCATTCTGGGGGAGTTTTTTTCATTTTACAATTTAGAGAAAAATTAGTAAAGGACCGTCCAATAACTATTCCCATGACTTAAAAAGACTTAATTGTCGATAGCTCCGTTAGATACCACTCGGTTTCATTGATATTAGAAGCATGCTTGAATTCCTTCATTAAGCATGTTATTCAAACTTTTCATTGTAAACTTCTTTCACTGAGTGAAATTTAGAATAGAGAGGATGTAACTCATTGCTTCAATTTGTACCTGGTAAATTGTCTCATTATAGGCTAAGCTGGATATGGAAAATAGCTGGAGATTTCTTGGGACACCTAAAATTAGGGAAACAAAATGGATCTGCCAAAGGAATCAAATTAACGCTGACGATGCTGCACCAATGGCATGAAAAGGACGATCTACCTAAACCCTAAACAGACTATTCATAATCACTCATTCAAGCTCAACACATGGAATCACATTAGGTTTTGAACTACCTGCGTCCGATGAGTTTGCTTTAGAACTATCTTTCATTTCCTTCTCATTGCTAAGGCAATTTGCAGCACTTGGTCTCGCACTCAAAGGAATTGTTTCCCCGCGTTTAACAGAAACTAATAATGGAACACGTTTTTTAACCCCAGAGGAACTTGGAATTGAAGAATTTTTCCCTGCACCAACTGAGCCTTTAGAAGATGGAGGGACAGAATTTAATGGAAGTGGAGAGGCTTCGACAGGGTCGATGTGCATGGGTTCTGATGTCAATTTTTTTTCCGGCTGTTTAGGGGTATCTGGAGGCTTTGCCAATGATGCACAGCTCGGTCGCACGGCAGCAGGAATTTCTTCTCCTACTTTCACTGAGGCCAAGAGTGGAAGGCGTTTCTTCTCTTTTGGTGCTGGCTGCGACAATTTTGATGAGACAGGACTAGAAGCAGTGGCAGTGGAAGAACCAGGCTTTGGCGAAGTGAGAAAGCTCTTGATTGATGGTGATTTTGAAATTTTATCGTGAGATTTGGGCAGTCTGGAATAAGACATAAAAGTTTTAGAGCCTAAGAAGTCGAATGATAGGGGAAAATAAGACCTCATAGGTGAGGTGCTCAAATCAGAATATCGATGGCCAAGGTGGGGAGCAACATATCTTCACTGCAGTGTTTCAAAATTTCCGCTCCTATTTTATGTTTTCAAAGGAAAACAAACAAACTTCATGATATGAAATTTACACAAAATATTCTTCTCACCAAGGAAATAAATCAAAGAAATTATGTTGACTAGTTTTCTGAGGAAAAAATAAAGTATGACTGGAAGTCTGCAACGTAGCAAACAGAGATACGTCGTTTCACTTTTTGGCAATCAATATTTGCCTTGTGTGGCATATAAATGGCTCTCAAGGTAATAAAATTGGACCGCGTTAAACAGAAAGGAACTAAGCCACATCAGCTATTGCCAAATGTAACTGGGCAATTTAATTTTTTAGATGAAAACGGTTGTGCAAATTTCAGTGATTTTTCTCTAAAGTACGAAGCAAATTCCTGAAAATTTTCAAAGGAATCCGCAAAAACGTTCTCTCGTAGCAAATAATTTCCCCAGTTAAATTTGGCAATAGCTGATGTGGCTTGGTTCCTTTCTGTTAAACACAGTCCAATTAAGGATGCACAAGGGCAACGAATCGAGAATACTTCTGGCTGCACAGACTGATCATATCAGATTTCAAAAATTACTGCACTGTATGATGGCCATACATTAACCTGAATCTATCAGAAGTTTAATTTCTACAAAGATTTTGAACCAACTTTTTTTTTTTATTCCAGCATTCTGTAGGCTGAACTGGCATTCAACATCTGCGGCTCAGGGGTGACTTTTAAAAAATAACATTTTTTTTAAAGTCTAGGTATTAGCAGCTTTGAGCTCAATTTATTTTATAAAATTATAGGGTATTTTTTAAAAAATTACACTCCAGACTATCAGTTGGTTTACCATGTAGTTCTCTCAAGATAATTTCTAATAATATAAACTGCGTTCACTAAAAAATCATCATCCTTTAAGAGGAGATAAAAATTATGGTTCCAAGTGTGGGAAGATTGCAGAGTGAGTGCAGAAGGTGCGGCGAAGAATGATGGGGCGCAGTTGTTTGCAAACGCTCATTTCCATGATGACGGAATGGAGGACTCGGACATTTGACGACCGTCAAGTTTAAAGAAAGCAGCAGATTCACTATTAGGATTTTTCTTAATTTCAATGCTTCGAAGCAAGCAAATGTGAAAATGTACAAATGCATCCTCTGATTTGATTAGTTAATGCATGGTTCCCTAAAGCATTATTAAATCAAATTTTTTTTACCAAAATTGCAAATTGCAAGATAAGAATCAAGCACCTTCCAAGAAAAATTATGACTTTTTTTTTCGACTTTTACAATACACCAAATCACTATTAACCACGAAAGATCCAATTTATTCATTTTCAGACAAAATTATGTATGATTTTGCTGAATAGGCAGGGGACAAAATCATGAATTCATGGAAATATAATTTTTTTTTTAGCGGCTGTCCAAGATCTGGAAGATTATCAACCTCTGAGAAGCCCTTTTAGGGAAGGATCTATTTAAGAAACGACTATGCATGTAACCTTAAGTCCATCAGAATGCCCATCTATAAATTAAAAAATCTCAAAGGGCTCAAAGGGGCACTGACCCTGACTTAAGAAAATAGAAGTTTCAAAGTCATAAAAACAGAACAGAATATAAATAACTGTGAAATTTTACGTTTTCTGACTGTAAGTTTCTTCTCTGATTACTGGTAAACCCTGGCCTCTAGTTCAAACTGTGAGAGTATGAAATATGAACTTACTTTTCAGCAGCTGGAGAGGTAAGTTGCCTCTGGCACTCTTCCTCAGACAGAACTTTGGTAAACTTGGTAATGAGGGGAACGCCAGTGGGAGCAGGTGAGGCAGTTGAGATGATTTGGGGGCTGTTCAATTGCTTGTGCTCTGTTGAAATTTCTGAAAGCTGCTTCAGTCGCTCTTCTTCAGAAAGAACTTTGGTAAATTTAGTGATAGCTACTGTTGGATCTGGGGTTGCCATCGGCGATGAGTCTGGAACACTTGCCACATGTGGGTTGTCGCTTGCAAGAAGCTCACTCAATCCATACTGAGCTCGAATTTCGGGAGCTACAAACCTGAGAAGCAGAAAATACAACTCAATTAATGTGTTACAGTGGAAAAAAAAGAGAGTAGAGGAGAGGGGAGATTTTTACACAGAAAAGATGAGAACTTCCATGTTCCAAACAAGAAATTTATGAGTTTACAAAACTAGGAGATGGCGAAATTCACTTAACTGCACGCAGCATCTATGTGATGCCAAACAAAGAACAAGAAAAACTGAGAAAAATTGTCTTAAATTTATACTTTTATTATCAGGTCAATACTTCTCAGAACAATGCTACATCTTCAGCACCAAATAAAAAGCAAAATCAAGAACAAACTGAAAGTAACTTACCAGAGTGGGGCGAAACAATACACAAGTATCAGTTGGGTAAACATTTTAGTCAAACAAAATATAAGATGAATTTGTTGAAAAAAGCAAGCTGTTCAATCACTATTTTCCAAAACTTTACCGACTAAATGAAATTGGCAGTATAAAACAAAACTTGGTAATACTATTCAGACGTCCTCATTGCATCAGTTGCGTTATCAAACCACATGTTGAAACTTGTGCTCAGAGTTATGGCATTTGGATGTTCACCAATGAGTGCTTCTGGTTTTTGTGCAGCCAGCGCTTTCCAATGGAATTTGATTTTTTAATTCCATAATATATCCTAAGATGTTGTTTTATTTCCTTGTCTATACCAAGACCGGAACTGAATTCAGGGGAAAAGCACTGATCACACAAAACCTGCAAGCACCCACCCGTAAAAATATAACTGGTGGAACTCCGCACGAAAGTCTCAATATGTTGTGGGGATCATTCAAATCTTGCTAATACACGCTTGAGCCTACAATCAAACAACATCGAAACAGTGTTGCTGAGTCGTGTTTTATGCAGCCAATTTCATTCAGTCCATAGGGTTTTGGAAAATACTTTTTGAAGGGCTTTCTCCTAGAGGAAAAATCTATGCTAAAAACGGTGCTTGGTGATTTTTTGGACCTTTTTTTCTCCCAAACTTTCGTAACTTTACACATTATAGAACAAAGATAATAAACTTAGTGTCAGTTAAAGGAAGTGAGTTATTCTTTCGAACACAGCCAGGATAAGCTTCCTGGCTGCATTGATTCAAAATTAGCAGCATTAGTCTCACCTACTTTGGAACAGCCTTTGTATTTAGAATTATTATGTGCTAACTCAAGAACTCCTCCTATCTATCTTAAATGATCAATTGCCTTGATCTGTTCCTTAGAATCTTCCTCCAGCTAGTTCAGTATATTGATAGCTATCCTTTCAAGACTGTTATCATTACAACACATCAACTCTAAACTCACATAAATTTTTCTGAAAAATTTTTCATCCATATGGTTAATCCCATTTTCCTCTCACTTGTGTGAGTTAACAAGAGCCTAAACCAAAATAGCAAATGAATAATGCAGAGGGTCTTACCAACATTTGCGTCCAAACAATTTTGCATTTTCATTATTGGGACAAATTTGATACGTGGCTATTTCTTTCATTTTTGCATTTATATTTTTTAATGTTGCTGAACTTGATTGACTTTCCAATATTTTCAAAAATTCATTGACTAAAAATTTGCGATTTCTCACACTTCCATGGATCAGCCGAATTAAACCTTTTACTTCTGCAAAACAAAAATAGAATAATTTACTTAGAAAGCATAAAAAGATCCATAATCACAAATGTAGTTAAACACAAATCTAGTTTTGCCTACTTCTGCTCAATGAGAATATAGATGCTTGTATAAATCAAGGAAGAGGATGGATTCATGGAGGATACAATATTCTCAAAAATGAATAGAATCCTTTCTAAAGCACACCAGAACAATCTTTCAGAAAATTCACAGCTGCAATTTTTTCCTCTTTTATTTCTGGCTTAGATTTTTCTTTATAACAGTAAGAAGTGCTTTAAAGTTCAGTTCTCTTTTAAAAAAGAGTGAAACTGACGCAATTTGAAAAACACTCTTCCTAGCTCGATACGTTCTTTTTTTTACAAGGTATGTAGATGTCAGGAGTAAAACCCGAATTGCAGTTGTTTCTCTAGGTTCCTGGTCACATTGTAATGATTCTGTGCTTTTAGTTACATCTTGATATGGCCAGGTACATTGTAACTTTATTTGGATGCATACTGCTAAGCTCATGGTCTTGAGAAAAATAGTCAGTTTTTCGTAAAATTGTGACGGTGGCTATCTGTTATGGCGGGGCAAAACTTTGCCGGATGAAAAAGCTTTTGCAAAAATGACTTCTACCCTTGCTTGGAGGAGGGAATGCTGATGCAAAAAATTTAGTAGATATTATGTGATCAATTGCTGACGATTTTTGAAAAATTTAAAATTGACACAATAAATTTAACCCATTGCCTTGATAAAACGTTTCGTCCGGCACCGCGCAGGCAGTGGCAGCCATGCTCGTCCTGACACATTTGCATCAATCCTTTTTTGTTTTCACATTTTTGCCAACAAATGGCACCATGAGTATGCGCCAACCGACGTTTCTTTGACAACCAGTGCGATGAAGGGCGTTGCCGACGACAACCATACTTGTGAGCAGACTTGTCCTTGCATTACACAGTTATTTTATGGAGGGCTGATTTTATCTCATTTAAATGATATGTCGATGCCACAAAAATGAAAAACAAACGGCATAGCAATAAGTTTAAAAAAAAAGTTTGAAGCTTGTTATTTAAGTTAATCTCATTTTGCCCCTTGACACGTTGATACTAACATTTTGATGATGTCATCACTGACTAGTGCCATAAATTTTTTGATGCGATTCACTTTTTCATCAAAGATTCGTGTAATAATAATGAAGAAAATTGATTTCTTCTAGTTGAACTTCTCCTGCATCCAACAGGCAGACATCTTGGCCATCATTTTCTGTTATAAGGACAGAATTTAAATTAGTCATAGTTTCCTCATACCTTCATCTGTAAATTTGCGGTTTTTGCCGGAGGTAGGATTGTTTTCTTTATCTGGAGAGTTTTCATCAGCACCAAATGGCTCAGTTGTTGAGATTGATCCATTTTCTTTCCATACAGCTCGACGGGGCATTAAATATTTCACGATTCTACTGTCAACTAATGAAAAAAAATCGATTCTATTATCAGTGAAAGAGGTAACACTTATTTCTAGTTGAGATTCTCTAATTTGTGAGAAAAAGATTAATCATAAAATTGAGTACTAAAATCGAGAGAGCAAAAAAAAAAGGACTTTGAATAGAAAAAAGTTCCTCCGGATGTGAAAGAACACAGACATAAAATACAGTTGTTTCGATTTCATGAAGAGTTAAAACTCAATGGACTTTAATGCCCGCTTCTACCTCTGGTAGCTGGATAGATTGTTGATAAAACTTCATAAATATGGATCTCAATTGAAGAATTGCAACATTTTCACTATTTTATATTTTTTTAGAAGAATATTAAAATAAATTACTGCATGAATCTCGTGAAATATTTTTAAGAGAGGTATAGGAAATCATACAAAGTTTGTTCCAGTAGTGATCTTGTCCCTGAGAAAGTAAAATATGACAAGCAGTCTGTAAAATCACAAAACAGCGATACATTTTTTACTACTTTCACCATAGAAATAAGATCCATTCAGGGACATCAAGGTTAAGTTAGGAGTGACGTGAATTTAACACCCTTGCTGGCAAATAGGTGGCATTGTGAACACAACTGTAGATACAATACATACTACATAGAAACAAGGAAAAATTTCTCCCACTGATCAATAAATTAAAAATCGAGGGGGCAAAAACCAATTTTTCATTGTGTGCTGAAAGAATCAAAAAAGGTGAAAAGTAATTTACCACAGGTAGTATCCTCAACGTTATTGTTGATCCACATGGGTCCGACAAGGATCGGCTTCAACCGCTCTGTTTTCTCAGATAATTCAGCTTCAAATTCTTCGCCTAATAATTTCAATTTCAATTTCTGTGCCTCTGGATTCTAAAAAAGAAATAGTATTATTACCACTTTTCTGTCTGATCTCACACAATTTAGATTCCAAAATTGGAACCACAATTCTAATAAAGTCAATTTTTCTCACACTTTATAGACAAAGTGTTTTTAACAGTCTTTCAGAAAATTTAGGATACCTTCTTAGTGCTTTCCCCTAATCAGTGAAAAGCATAAAGTATCCCTCTTTGCTGAAAAATTATGAACTGTTGACTTATTTATTTCAACTATCAGGAGAACTCTTTGAAGTAAAATTCTTGAAATGGCTGCTCTGGCAAACTACGCTACAGCAAATATTTGCCACGGACAAACAAGACTGCTGATGCAGAGGATGAGCTCTTAAACCAGAGCACATAAAATGAAAAATTCCAAACCATGCATACATTTCCCACACTCTTTGGACTTTCTGCAGCTTCTTCATGCAGACATCTAGCCTGCAACTAAATTTTTTCTTACAATTTTAATTTTTCAAGTTTCTATGTAGGTTAGAAAATTGTTATATAGCAATTTCATAAAATTTTTGTGCAGACAAATTTATTTAATAATAAAATCATGAATCAAAAATAAGGATAATCCATCCTTTTCCTTTTCTTCTACTACTCTTTGTGAATTTTTTTTAGGCCTTGTCCACACGAACGCGGTTCACGGAACTCAGTTCGAGGAACTTGTTCCCGGAACAAGTTTTTTGCTGAGCTGAAACTTATTCCTCCAAAACCTGGAATTTCCCCCGTGCTTCGAGCTTCTAAATATGTTTCTTTTGATGTGAATTTGCTTGTTTTTGTTTTTCACGTCCTTTACATATGATCTTGACATTTATTTTTGTTACTTTGGCGGTCATAATAATCTATTATTTTGCAATAATTGTATAGTTTTATTGAAGTTCCGGTTCCAGTTCAGACGAACCCGTGTGGACAGCATGCCTCGTTTCAAGGAATAAGTTCCGGGAACTGAGCAAGTTCAAGGAATAAGTTCCGCGAACTGCGCTCGTGTGGACAAGGCCTTAGGAAGAATAGCATGAAATGACTCATTGTTTACGTTTCATTTTTGAGAGTTTGAAAATTTAGTGCTGAGAGACAAATTTAGGTTGAACTGGATACATTTGATAGAATCACATTGTCAACACTTCATATTGTGCTAAACTGTGCAATTTTGAAATTGGAGCAATTTTATAAGCTGTTCCTTCGATTTTAAGGCTTGTTGACACCCCGTTATTACAAAGCTGTTTGATGCGCTCACCACTATATCCATTAATCTAACCGACACTAATCGGCTCCACAATGGACTTGAGAACCCGCTCAAATGAGCTAAACAGAGCATTTTCTAATTCAGAGTTTTACTAAAGAGACATGTTCGGACAATCTGGAGCAAAATATTACAACAGCTAACAAAGATTAATGAAAACTACTAAAATATGTTGCCTGATGGAACCAACCATGTCCTCAGCATCTTCTTCTTCTTGAACTTCTTCATCACTGAGATATCCGTGAGGCACGAAGGTTTCATTGTCTACCTCGTAATCATCCTCACTTTCTTTTTCATCGTCTGATCCACGGAGCGATTCACCTTCTCCTTCTTCCCACTCATCGTCTGAGTCTACTTCATAGTCAAAATGAACCTACAAAAAAAGATATACGTTGAATTTCCCATAAAAAATTTGTCAAATATTGCATGATGCACATTAAAGATAAGCCCAAAAATGTCCTTTGTTGACATCAAAATAGCATTATACATCAACGGAAAGGGACCAAGAAGAGGATAAGAAGAGTCATAAAGTAATTACACGCTCTCAAAACCTGATTACACTGGTGAAAGGAACCATGAGTAGGACCAAAGCTAGAGAGAAACGTGGAAATTGAGAAAGTAAAGTATGAAATTTGAACATGGACTTAAAACAAAGAGGCAAAACTTGCAAGAATCTAATTTTCAACAATTTTGCATCAAACGAATCGACCAGAGTAGTGTGATTTTCAAACTTTCAAATGCTTAGAGTCGAAAAAATTCAAATAGTGCGTAGCTATGGCTAAAGAGAGTCTCATTGAATTGTGCAAAGGACTAAGGAAAAAAGGTAAAGAAACTGCATCTAATTATGTTTGTAAACAAACAAGGGAAATAGAAGATGGGATAGGTCAAGGTAAAGAGGTTATTACATAAAACTAAAAAACATTTTAACAATAAAAATAGTGATACCTTAGCTCCTGAGAAACAGAATGTGAGGTAAGACCTGAAGGCAATAAAAGTGAAGGAATAGAGAGAAAAAACAAATGAGGAGAGCAAAGAAATAGCTCACCAAACGCTACGATATAATAGATCAGTAATCCTTCAAAATGCGTTAAAAGCATGAGTACGGAGGATCCCTGATTTTTCCAGGAGTTAAACATCATTAAAGCTATGTGGACACTGAAGTTAAATTTGCAGGGGTATACTAAAATAAGTAAATGCGGGGTTTGGAAAATCATTAAATGAGAACTGTTTGAAATTAAAACATGTTTTGTAAAGAAAGTTGTTTAGTCTCCTGTCCCTAATAATAACTATATTGCCTCTCACAAAATAGGATTTTGGCATCAGAAGTATTATCTCATTGAGTCGCCTGACAACGCCTACAAGTACTATTTAAAGTCAGTTAAGTATCGCTGAGAAAAATCCGACACTTCGCCACCTCAATAGACGACTAGACACGGTCTAAATTAGAGATAAATGTCACTTGTTTTCTCTTCAAAATTTTACGTGGGAAACAATCTACATGGCAGGAAGTTGGAAAATCAACTCTTACACGAGACATTAACAAGCACTTTTAACACAGATCAAATGGTATTTGTATTTTTTCAATTTAACCAATGTTATGATGAACACCTATAACTTGCTTAGGAGTTGATTTCCAGACATCCGGTTGTGTGAATCGTTTTATTAGTGAAATTTTGAAGAGGAGACATGTTGCATAGTGCTTTAACTCATACAGTAGGACATAAACATATACAGGCAGCCCAAAACAGAAACAGTAGAACAAAAACAAGAAAACAGTGGAAACAAGGCAAAAGTACATAAAATTATACAGGACGTTTCGGTGTCTCACGACACCATAATCAACCACTAAAACAGTATAGTACAAAATATAAAAAATAAATTAAAATCAAAGGAAAATTATTATCAAAGGATAAGATCAAAAGAAAATTATTTTTTGTACTTTACTGTTTTTAGCAGTTGATAATGGTGTCGTAAGACACTGAAATGTCCCGTATAATTATATATATTTTAGCCTTGTTTCCGCTGTTTCCTTGTTTTCGATCTACTGTTTTAACTCATACACCTGTCTAGTAGCCTCTCATGTCCATAATATCTGTCCATACAAATTGGATGGTACTTACATCATCCTTTTGACATGGGTTGCGTGGTTTGATTGTTTTGCTTTTCTTCCTCCAAGTGCCATAGTACGGTGGTCGATGGTTCTCGTGGAATTGCAGTAGTTTGGCTCTCATCAAGGTTCGCTTGCTGACAATGTCTGTTTCAGCCTCAACATCATCATCATCTTCTGAAATGATTCATTACATTTAATAAAATTTAATAATAATAATAATACAGTAAAACTTCGATATAACGAATTTCTGGGGACCGGCGAAAAAATTCGCTAAATCAAAAACCGCGGAGAACCCGATTTTAGGCCACAACTTGTTTTGAAATATTCTTTTTTTTCCAGTTTTGAGTACACCCCCCCCCCCCCTCTTAAACTATGACGATATTTTACAGAAAATCGGCAGGGAACACCCGGTTAGCACTTGATCAGTAAAACTGCGCAGCGGTAGTGAGGAGCACACGGCAGGGGTTGAAATCGTGCTGATGACACTGATGACGTAGCTCCTTAATCACCCTATTTATTCGAGGAAACATGTGCGCCTCAGAAATTCCCAATCCCGCCATGTCGGAAAATGACCTTTGCACCGACACAGACGTACAATACGCGGGTGAAGACAAGAATGCTTTCTCCCCTGCGGTGTTGCCAGGCGCGCGGAAATTCCTGTGCATTCGTTAAATCGAGTTAGATTTACATGATAAAGTTTGTACTCGGACCGAAGATTTCCTTCGAAAAAGCGAATATTCGTTATACCGAAATTCGTTATATAGAATTTATTTTACATTGAAAAGTTAGGGATTTTTTCGGGACCGCGAAAAAAATTCGTCAATTCGAAGAATTCGTTATATTGACGTTCATTATATCAAAGTTTTACTGTACTTCAAATGATATATCAATAGCTCAATATAATGTTCGGAAAAACTTGTAATAATAGGTTAACCACACTCAACATGAGTTAAAAGAACAAAAAAAGGGGAAAAAAGCAGAGAAAATAAGCAGCAATCTGCTTGGTTTTCTTACCAACGATAATAGAATCATCATCATCATTACTTGGCCATGTTTTGCCAGATGTCCCCTTTTGATAATCGGATGATTTAAGCTGATGTATGTACAATTCTTTTAAGTCCAATTCAGACGCATTTGTGATAGCACTTTCTAGAGAAGCAAGCCGTTCAGCAGACAATGTCACCCGAGTTGTGGGTGCTAGTTTCATGAAAGGCTTTTCCTGCAAAAAAAAATGACACAGTGAAATTAAAGAACTGTCAGAGACATAAACTGTACTATCACTAAAAATCAGCATTGTGCTAGTGTAGTCCACAGCAGCGATGCTCAGTCAGAGGTTGGCGAGATCTTATGATTTCTTTTTTTTGTTTTATCCTTTGTAACTCCCTAGATTTTTCATTTGTTCCGATTTTCATCCGAATTGACAACATTTCATTTTTTAATGGGAAAATAATTTTCTCCTTACTGAGGAAAAAGGGATTACTCATTAATGGGTCAGTTGCGCTCGTCACAGAATCGTGTTTTGATTCTTGATACTTTTAGATTAGCTTGTTTTTTTCTTTTTTTTTTAAAAAAAAAGATTTATTTCATTGTAAGCTTCCAATACAGGAAAATATATACAATTAGCTTAAATTATAAGTAATGTATGTAGAAGTAACAACAGATTAATTACTTCATATCATAAGAGTTAAGAGAGAAAGTGGTAAAATAATTGACTCGCTACAGTTAGTCGATTACATAATTTTAAATATTTAGAGTTTAGGACTCGGAATCAGTAAAGACATTCATAAAGATTCAATGGATTAATGAGTAAGTTTCAGATGAACTGAGTTGACGTAAATAATTTGATCCTAAAAATAGTTTTGTCTTAGAAATCAGTGTCAGGGTTGGTGACAAGCTCCCAAGGTTTCTTTCTTTTAAGTCTTCTAATCTCTTTTAGATTATTTAGTAACTCAATTGCTGTTTCGTTGGGGTGACGATGAAGCCTGTCTTCGTACCTTTATGAGATTTTCTGGATATATTTATGAATAAATTCTATATCTATGTCCTTGTGAATGTCTCTATTGGTTTCATATCTTTCAGCACCACACAATTTTCTTAAAGTTTCAGACTGCATCGATTGCAATAATTTTAAACTAGATTTGGGGACGCAGCCCCAAATTTGACAACCATATGCCCATGTGGGTCTTATGATTTGTTTATAAAGTAAAATCTTATTATCTAAAGAAAGGGAGGACTTCTTACCTAGTAACCAATTTAATCTAAAATTTTTAAAATTGCATTCCTTCTTTTTAAGTTTAATATAATGTTTCTATTGAAGTTTGGTATCTAACGTAATTCCTAACTATTTTGCTACTTTGCTTAACAGTACTGGAGTATTACAGAAATTTAGAGAGATTTTTCTAATTTTTTTGGTAGATTAGCTGAAAATAATAAGATCTGTGCAAACCGCAACTTTCTACATTAACCTTGATATCGCCCTTTGGAAAGTCAGGTTTTTGGCTCTCATCAAGGTTCGTCATTCACCGCGGCAGTGACACCCTTGGTTTCTTCCTCTTTTGTTCGATCAGTGATGCAAAAGGTGCAATGCAAAACATCAGCTATGTTAAACGTAAACAAACTAAGGTGAATTGATTGACCACTTAATCTCTTCGCTGCGAGTGCGTTATCTCCTGATAAAAAGATCTTTCATGTGCAAATAACTCTGTTTCTTGAGTTTGTATACGTCTAACATCGTTGAAGTTTTGCATTGCACCCTCTGCATCACTGATCGGACAAAAAAGGAAGAAACCAAGGGTGTCCCTGCCGCGGTGGATGATGTCAAAAACCTGACTTTTCAAAGGGCGATATCTCGGTTAATATTGAACGTAGAACGTTGCAGTTAAGTTTTAATAAATGCTGGTGTGCATTAACATCCATATTTGTACATAAAAATGACAACAAACTTCGATAAACAATTAAAAAACTCTGTAACAGAAGTTAAAAACAATTTTTGCTCTTAGTTTGCGTTCAGTTACCATTCCTTCATGAAGTCTGTTTGCTATTATCAGTATTTAGGGCCACATTTGACCTTTTGGCCTTGAGATTTGGAAGCAGTGCCACAGGGCCAGCTTAGTGTTGGACTTATGAGCCTGAAATGACTCGTAACATGTTGAACATAAACAAAAGGAGGATGAGATCAATTCTACCTGAAATGGCATGAAAGCAAGATTGGTAGGAGCTGCCTCTGATTCTGTTTCCATTTTTGATGACTGTTCAGTTTTAGGCTTGTTAACAAAAAAACTAGCAAATGCTGCTTTCACTTTGTTTTCCTTCTTCTGTTTCAATTCTTCTTGCTTCTTTTTTTCTTCTTCTGCTTTTCGTTTCTCCTCCTCTTTCCGCAGTTTTTCTTCATTTTTTAGCCTGAGGAAAAAAGGAAGGTTAGTTAGGGCATAGGATTAGTACATGACAAGAAATTACCGGATCAATCTGATCATCCACAGTTTTTGTTTGTTTCTCCAGCCCAAGTAACCGAAGAAAAAACAAAAAATCAAGTATTGCAAATCCACTCGGAAAAAACTTCAAATTTTTAGATTCACTGCACAGCACAGCCACAGCAGCTGATATACCTGAATTCCAACAGGAATGAGCAAAATGAATTCCTGTGTATGTGCTTGGATTTATTCTGTGAACTAGGGTTCCCTCAAAACTAATCAAGCCACTTTTCAAATCAAAATTTTGAAATGAGATAATTTTTTCTTGATGAGACACTTTTAACATAAATTGCAGAATTACTGGACCCATTCAGATCAACCACTAACTCAAAATTGGACCATAATTCCTTGAATCTACCAAACACGGTCCAAATATACTGGCTTGAGGCATCTGTCAGTCATAAATAGTTAATACGGCAATGAAATTATTAAATATCATCAACATAATGTTAGAGTTATCGTGAAAAGAACAGTACAAAAAATTCAACGGATGGAAGATCTTACTCTATTTCTGCGAGGCGTTTCTTCTCTTTTTCTTCCTTGTCCTTCCGCTTTTGTTCTTCATGCCTTTTTTTCTCTTCTTGCTCTCGTCTCTTCAATTCTTCTTTTTCCTTCCTTATTTTTTCTTTCTCCTCTTGTTCTTTCCGTTTCAATTCCTCCTTCTCCCTTTTCAGCTTGAGTTTTGCCTCAAGTTCCTCTGCTTTTTTCCTTTCCTTTTCCTTGATTAAGATAGATAGAGAGCAAAAACATATAAGTCAGAGTTGTTTGGAAATAATACAAAACAAAATCGTCAAGCTCCACTTGTTTTTCTAGAGTTTTTTCAGCCGTTCTGCAACTTCCATGAGTAATGAAAGGTCACACTTACCGATGAACATTTAGCTTTACCCACGGGTGCAAAAAACTTCATGGCCTTACGACAAGGCAGGTTGCAATCGGGCACATGCAAAAATGTAAGGGCTAAAATAATCGGTTTTATAAATGGGAAGGCTAAAAAAAGATGTGTTTTAGCAAACCTGCGGTAAAAATTTGGTGTTTTTCTTTTCAAACTGGGGTAGGAATCACAGGTTATTTGCAAAATCACAGCAATTTTTAAACACACTTCCGTAAAAAGGTCGTCACTTTAAAATTTTTGCAGGAAAAAGGGGTTTTACAATGGGAGGGCTAAGAACTTTCTGCATCCCTGGCTTTACCCGCAGTGTATTTTGAGAAATGCCTTAATAGTCTCTACTAAAGACTGCGGATGCACCTAGTGGAGGCTGACATACCCAAATCAACAAACAAAAAAACAAAAATTGCTGTAGCAGGGTGTCTACAAAAACAGACTGACCAGAAATCAGTACTTCTTCAGTACTTTTTCAGTACATTCCCAAGAAATTCAGTACCTCCTCAACAGAAAAATTCAGTACCTCTAGTAGACGAAATTCGAAAAATTTCAATTTTTCGCTCAAATTGTGACAACAATGACAAAAAATTAAGAAAATTCCGGACTTTTTTACAGAATTTCCGCACTTTTTTGGTACTTCCGGACCGCCCTTAAAAAATCAGTACTATTACCAGGCTTTCCGGAAATTTCGGACTTGTACACACCCTGTATAGTGCTCTGAGAGGAGTTCAACCTCCTGTTTTTAAGATGCCACAGAAGTCAATTGAACTCCTAGATTGATCTTCACAAATCATCGGCCGAATAATCCCTCCCATGATATTGATAATGCACCTTTGTCCACTGGGAGCTCATATGTTGAGGCTTTAGCCATCACTGCCTTTGAAAGTAAGAAGTATTTTTAAAGTACGTGGACTTATCTTATCTTAAAGAATCTTATCTTCAAGAATACTGAACTCTATTTCCTTCTCTTTTTTTTGTGTGTGGTTTTTATGTTCCTCTGAAGAGAGTGATCAAAGCTTTCATTGGAAGAACTGAGGTAACTTTAGTTCCATCACATTTTTTGTAGTGATCTAATCATTCGGATAGTAAGATGTAAAAGGTACATTTGTTACTTGAGAACTTTTAAACTTCGATGATTTGTGGCAAAGTAAGAGGATTAACTGAGCATATTGACACAAAACAGGTATATGTACACAAAATATCCATTGCGAAAAGAATTTCTGTGCAAGAGATGGATCACAGAAGCATTCCTTAAGATATGGCTCCCAGTTTCGGGCTGGATTGTAAACCGGGGTTTATCCAAGATTTAATCAAAAGAAAAGAAATTAGATGAACAACACTAAAGAAAAAATGGTTTAAAGACATTGAATTTGTGCAGTAAGGCATGCAATACATAATTACTGCAAAAAACTGATCCTGTTAATGTACAAAAGACATCTTTAAAGCAGAAAAGGTATTGTAGCTTGAAAATCATGATACATGATAATCAAGTAATACATTGAGGGTTTTCTCTGAATCAACTGGTTCAGTTTCCTCTCATGTAAAATAAAAGGTTACTTACAAGTCGTAATTTTTCTCTCTCCTGTTGTTTTTCCAACTGCTTTGGTGTGAGTTTGCGAGATTTAGGGGTTTTCTTTTCACTGGTTGGAGTTTTGACAGAGGTGACGGATATTTCCTTGGCAGATGAGGTAGACACGTTCAATGATTGCTGAAATGTCAAATAATAAATATATAAAATCATTGAAACATCCACACATCTTGATAACTGACACGCTGTAATATGAGTCTTATACAGCGCCAATTTAATACTACTTAAAGCGTTGCACATTTGAAATGCACTTTTCCATTTTTGCATCGCACAATGAGAGGAAAGTTAAGTGGAAGGATCAGCTTTGGGCCTTTGAGCATTATTCCATTCAACTAGAAAAATCACAGACTGCAAAAGACAAGAGCTTCCTCTTCTCAAGGGCGCCTACAGACACAACCCGGAACCAAGAGGGTCAGGATCTGCAGTCCAGCTGGCACAAAGCTTCTGGTCATTTCCGATGCACACTAGTACCTCTGTGATTAATAGGTGAAATCATTCATGGTTTTAGTGGGAAGAAATAATTATAATATTTATTTTGTACTCAAGATTCACTATTTGTGCAGCTTGAAAACTTGAATGACATTTTTCTGAAGATAATTCACGACTATGCTCAATGACAAGGACATACATTCTCTGAGACTTCCGATGTGACAGATCCATCTTTTGACTTTTTGTCTTCTTCATTGCTTTCCTCTTGAGGATCAACCACACTAGGCTCTTTAGCGGACTCCGAAGATTTTTCTTCAAGATCAATACAGGAAACTTCCATTTCATCTTCTGTAGTTGCACCACTCTTAGATTCACAGCCATCAGTTTTATCCGCCATTGGAGATAAACTGACATCAGCTTCTCCCTTTGCACTAAGTTTTTTCGAAATCTGATCCAACATTTCTTCTTCTTTGCAGGCATATTTTGTATCCTACAAAAAAATCATAGAATGATTAGCAAATGCAGATGAAAAATAAGTCAATAAAGCGCCTTGATATTGACATTATCACGATGACATTTTAGAATTTATAATTCGTCAAATGACTAAATTAAGATGGTCATGGTACTTAAAAATGTCATGTGGAAGCTAGGAAGAAATGCAATCACATGATGTATCTTTTCATTAGATCGTCATCTTCTGACAAAGGCATCTCAATTGCCATTCGCGCTTAGACCTTAAACACAAGGTTGCCGGACATTCTAATATTGTTTTAATTTTTTTTTTAATACTCCACATACTTTCATGAAAATTTCAGGGATTAATTTTGATGACAAGAGAAATATAAGGTTATATCTTCAAGGGATTCTGTTCATTAGTTTCTCCATGAAAAATTGGACAATATTGCATCTGGGCACAAATGACGCATGTAATACTTTTGCCAGAGGATGACGAGATTTTATGGGATACAGACACTTCAAAAGTTGAGTGGTAGATTGACAAAGATAGAAATATGTCCTCTTAGAAATCATATTTTACGACATGACATTCTTTAACATTATTTTCATTATTTATATTCTTGTGTTTTGTTCAACACGAAAGAAAATGTGTTAAAGCAAAGTTTAAAATTTCAGAACAAAAGGAGTTTAGAGTCATGAGTGATAAGTATTGAAATAAATTTCATTTATAAAATTTGAGCAACATTGAGGATAGCTCGAGTGTCCTACCTCTTCAACACGATCCTTTTCCTCCAAATCTACTACCAGGGCGACATTTCCTTTCTCCTCCGCTGTTGCAGCCTTCGCAGAATTTTCTTCTACAACGGAGCTAACACTTTCCTTTTCTTTTAGATCAGACTCGATTTTATCGTCCTTTGACTTGTTTAATTCTTCATCACTAACACTGATTTTTTTCTTCTTTAAAACCGTTTCTTGTGGTTCAGCGGTTCCATTCTCTACAGCTTTCTTATTCTCTTTAGAATCATCTTTATCAATGACTTCCAATATTTCAATGCCATCATCAATCTCATTGAATTTCCGCTTGGGAGCATTGCTTGTGTTGTCCTTCTTGGCAGAGGGTGGCTTAAGAGGTTGGAACACCAGACGAGCTGAAAGTAAATAGAGGAAAAGTTTTAAAAAGTTCTAATAGTGGCCTTAGGGCCACACCCGCTATTCAATCTGCCGGCCTCTCTCCTGAGGGGCCACAGGATTTTTAATAACATCTAAAATAAAGTCGCCTAATGCAGCAATGCAGGTGCGGCGGGCTCATCAAGAGAGAGAGAGAGAGAGAAAAAAAAGTTCTATCCCTCTGGAATTTTAAATAAAATCTTATCTTCAAATTCTCGCTGATAATTCAGCCTGCAAAAGGTTTCTACCCAAATGAATGTTTTCGTAACAAAAAAAATAGAAAAAACAAGAGCAAGAAAAAAAGAAAAAAGGAAGAGAAAAAGAAAAAAAATAAGCAGCTATCACGGAGGCAGTCTCAACTGTTCAGTCTGACAGGGTACGCATGTACAGAGACTGTACATTTAGCCCACAAATGTCATTGACTATACATTTGGACTACTCTTGTGATAGCAGCAAATTCTCTGTGAAAAAATTTCCATAAAGTTTGTTTCAAATTACTGTTCATTCATAATGGTTCCAGAACTTGTAGGTTAGGGTGGGACTTATTTTTTTAAATCGACAAAACCAAATGTTGCACGGTCTTAAATGGTTCTATGTGATAAAAAAACACGGTAGCCAAGAGGATTTTGAGGAAAAAAATTTTTAACCCGGCGCGCACAGGGCCTAAACATCGAGATTTTTTTGGTTTTTTAGGCATTTTCGCCGTATATTTTTGATATTTTTGCCAGCAACACAGATTTGACGCTAGATGTCCAAAAATTGGTAAAAACCTAGCACATACCTTGCAGATTAAGGGAAAATTTTTGTTTTTCTCGTAGGTCACTTTCACTGCGCTTGGTAATGCCGAAACTCTCCGCTCGGCAGCTCTAAAAATCGAAATTCCGCCGTTTTTTAACGTATAATGAACTTTTTGAGCAACCTATAATGGTAGTAAAAATCCAAAAATTTGTGGAAAGCAAGTCCATACCATCAGTATGGAAGGGCAAATGTCAGAAAACTCCTAGGTCTTTCATTTTCTGCCAAGCTATGCATACAATGTTGGAAAACCCGTCAAAAATAGCTCAATTTTGACCGTTTTTTCGCGTTCGAAAATTTATTGGACGCCCTGTAATGACAATGAAGGTCCGAAATTTTGTGGAAAGTAAGTTCATACCATTTGTATGGAATAAAAAATTTTACTTGGTTCCTCCGTCTTATATTCTTCGCTCTGCGATACCCGAAATGGCAGCGAAAACGTCAAAAATACCTCAAATTGGCCGTTTTTGGCGAATTTTTTTGAACACCTTGCAGTGGCAGTGGAGGTCCAAAAATTTGTACAAAGTAAGTTCATACCATCCGCAAGGAATAAAAAAATCTACTTGGTTCCTATGTCTTACATTCCTCGTTGTGCGGTGCCCGCAATCACTTCGAAAACGTCAAAAATACCTCAATTCGGCCGTTTCTTCAATGGCGAAATTTATTAGACACCCTGTAATGACTCTGGAAGTTCGAAAATTGGGGGAAAGCAAGTCCGTGCCACTAGTATGGAAGGGCAAATTACAAAAGATCCATAGATGTTTGATTGTTTGTCGCACGGTGTCTTCAGATACACAAATAAGTGAAAAATACCTCCATTTTGACCGGTCTTTCGCCATCAAAATTTCATAGACACCCTGTAATGACAGTGGAGGTCGAAAACTTTGCTGAAAGTAAGTTCATTCCATCTTCATGCAATAAAAAATTCTGCTTCGTTCCTATGTTATGCATTCCTCGTTGTGCGGTGCCCGGAATCGTATCGGAAACGTCAAGTGTACCCGAATTCGGCCAATTTTTTTTTACTCAATTACTTTTGAGACACCCTGTACTGACAATAGAAGTCCGAAGCTATGTAAGAAACTAGTGTTGAAAGAAAGCAATCGATAAATTTAGGTATTTTTGAAGTGTTCGCCTCACTTTAGGGCGTCTAACGACAACAATAAAAAATGCAAGGTTCTTAGAAAAATTGCCGTTCCTTAGTGATGTACAACGTATATTTGCTTGCACTTATAAGAGTCCCCGATGTCATAACAGGGTGCCAAAAAAATTTTTCACACGAAAAACTAGCCGAATTCGGGTACACTTGACGTTTCCGATACGATTCTGGGCACCGCACAACGAGGAATGCATAACATAGGAACGAAGCAGAATTTTTTATTGCATGAAGATGGAATGAACTTACTTTCAGCAAAGTTTTCGACCTCCACTGTCATTACAGGGTGTCTATGAAATTTTGATGGCGAAAGACCGGTCAAAATGGAGGTATTTTTCACTTATTTGTGTATCTGAAGACACCGTGCGACAAACAATCAAACATCTATGGATCTTTTGTAATTTGCCCTTCCATACTAGTGGCACGGACTTGCTTTCCCCCAATTTTCGAACTTCCAGAGTCATTACAGGGTGTCTAATAAATTTCGCCATTGAAGAAACGGCCGAATTGAGGTATTTTTGACGTTTTCGAAGTGATTGCGGGCACCGCACAACGAGGAATGTAAGACATAGGAACCAAGTAGATTTTTTTATTCCTTGCGGATGGTATGAACTTACTTTGTACAAATTTTTGGACCTCCACTGCCACTGCAAGGTGTTCAAAAAAATTCGCCAAAAACGGCCAATTTGAGGTATTTTTGACGTTTTCGCTGCCATTTCGGGTATCGCAGAGCGAAGAATATAAGACGGAGGAACCAAGTAAAATTTTTTATTCCATACAAATGGTATGAACTTACTTTCCACAAAATTTCGGACCTTCATTGTCATTACAGGGCGTCCAATAAATTTTCGAACGCGAAAAAACGGTCAAAATTGAGCTATTTTTGACGGGTTTTCCAACATTGTATGCATAGCTTGGCAGAAAATGAAAGACCTAGGAGTTTTCTGACATTTGCCCTTCCATACTGATGGTATGGACTTGCTTTCCACAAATTTTTGGATTTTTACTACCATTATAGGTTGCTCAAAAAGTTCATTATACGTTAAAAAACGGCGGAATTTCGATTTTTAGAGCTGCCGAGCGGAGAGTTTCGGCATTACCAAGCGCAGTGAAAGTGACCTACGAGAAAAACAAAAATTTTCCCTTAATCTGCAAGGTATGTGCTAGGTTTTTACCAATTTTTGGACATCTAGCGTCAAATCTGTGTTGCTGGCAAAAATATCAAAAATATACGGCGAAAATGCCTAAAAAACCAAAAAAATCTCGATGTTTAGGCCCTGTGCGCGCCGGGTTAAAAATTTTTTTCCTCAAAATCCTCTTGGCTACCGTGTTTTTTTATCACATAGAACCATTTAAGACCGTGCAACATTTGGTTTTGTCGATTTAAAAAAATAAGTCCCACCCTATTGTAGGTCTTTGATGACTTTTCTCAGCTGCCATTTTCATATTTCAAACCTGCAGGATACATGTGAGTTTGAAAAGTACAAACTTTCAACACTTTAAGTTAGTAGTACGTCAGCAACGAAACTGCAGAAACGCACATCTTGATTTGCGAAGTTCCAGATTTCCTGTCATACTTCATTTTTTAAATTCAAAAGTACTAGATGTCATTTCTTAAAAACTTCCCTGATTTCCCTTCCCTGTGTGAAAAGTATTCTGTGAAGATTCCAAGTAATAGTATTGGTTGGTTCTCCTTTGATCAAATAAAACCAGAGTGGAAATTTTGAAACTCCGAAAATAAGATAAGCGTTCCTGCAATTTCGCCATTGATGCATGGTTGTGTAATAGTGTACCACATTAGTTTAGCTTGTGGGATAAATATAAATACTCCAAATTGCTCTCTTTCTGTCAGCATTTTTAGCTGCATCAATCACTCTGTTCCAAAGCTGATGGTATTTGATCAGCCAGCGAACAGCCAACAGCATCAAAATTATCAATCTTGACTGAGAAAAACATTAATTTACATTGTTTTTGTTTGTGACGGTAGAACCGTTTCATTGTCTTATTTTATTTAATCCTGGAGAATTGAAACAACAAACTTTAGTTACCTTGTTTTAATTTCTTTGCAGGAACTTGCGTTTCATCTATATTATCACCTGAAACATTCAAAAACAAAACTGTTTCAAGATCAAAAATACCAACACTCAAACTACAAAAATTGTTTTATTGAAGTTAAGCATCGTGCCAAAGTTGAGTTCCAGTACAAGTGCATTATGCCAGGATAAAGATGCAGCCTACCAAAAATTAAATATGTAACCTGAATGACAGGTACTTAATAAGAACTACATTAAATCAGAGTAACAAAATTTTCTTACTCTAATCAACCGAGCATTGACAAAAGTCAACTAAAATTAAAATTATTAGAATTTCTGTAATTTATCTGCTAATATTTACTGATACATAATTACATAAATCATTCTCTGATTGAAAATTGGATCAGGGCTGCAGTAAGTTTCAAGCTATCGCTGCATTCAATTGGCTTTTCCCCAATTTTAATTGATCGTCCCCCAAATTCAATCAACCTCCTCACATTTTGAACCAAAATACACCCCCAAAGACTGAAAAAAAGAAAATAAAGCCTTTTGCCCGAAAATTAACATTTTTACTGTTAAAATGCCATAGTTCACTTAGGATTCCTCCCTTATGTCCCATCTTCAGACGCTCCCCAAATTTTCCCCGGTCTTGCAGGAGCTGCCTTATTTCACACAGCCAGTTCACAGCCATGGATGCTGAAGAGGTTTCTGCACCCATGAATTGGATACCCACTATGAGAAATCAAGATGGAGAAAATACATACAAAATTTGAGGGCATTCATGAGCATTACCCTGAACAGAGGCAGGAGAATGCTGAAATTTGGGGGGAAAATTCAAATATTTGTCCTTGTAATTTTTAAAAACAAAATTTCGGAAGTGAGCTTTTTCAAATCTATGGCTTCCACAAAAATGTCTACATAAGGAGAAAATGCCTCCAAGTTCCTTTGGAAACATTCATTTTGGCAGAAAAACGTTGGGACTTTCGAATGTTCAATCCTCAGTCTTCTTATAGTTGCAAGTGCAGTGATTTATTGATTTCCCTCCGATTTATAGCAGACGCCACTGCCAGGGAATGTAACTGCGATGAAAGAAACTTGATGTAATTCAACGGTTAAACTTTAAAAATGCATAGCTCAGTTGTGTTTCAAAATGTCTACTCCTGTTTAAATTTTTTAAAAAGAGCTTGTACAGATTTCATGGCTTTGAATTTTAACAAAGTATTTTCCACAAAGAGAAGAAAAATCACCGGAGTTTTCAAGAAATGAATTCGGTCATTTCCTATGTAGAAAATGAAGTGAGACAAGAAGTCTGCAACACCGCAAACCAGCCTACACATTTCCACTGTTTCACCATTAAAATACACTTAAATATGTCTATGCAGTATGCACAACAAAAAATAGAAAAATCTGAAGTAAATATAATGAAAATAAAAATGTCTACAAGGCTTCATCACTGCACAGCACTTGAGGTATTCCTGGACTGATATTTACAGATAAGATTCAATAGTTTTGAAAAATCAAACCTGACATTTAATGGCAGGTGATACTCACAGGAGGTATTTGACATATCTACTTGATGTATTTATCTTCGCTATCGATTAATTTTTTTCTCCTTTGAACCTGTAAAAAAAGCAGATATGACTATCTAAGTAAAACCATTCATAAAGACAGGGATTAACCAATCATAACGGCGAATGAGAGAAGAAATGAAGTATGCAATTTAGGAACTTACATCTAATAATAGCTAAATTTATTCATATAACATAGTACAATTTGTGATTATTCTGAATATCAATAACTGAAACAAGGTTATGAAGTTTGGTTTGCATTGAAATTGAAAAAAGGTACAACTCAAATACAGTTCATGGAGTCTTAGGGACCGCTGTTAGAGTAGGTTTGCAGTATCTAGTAGCTGTTGAGGTTATTTGTGGTTATTGGAGGCTACATGGGAACTTCCAGGTATTCACTAGAATGCTCTGCAAAATCTATCTAGGAGTTTCTAGAGCAGAATTAGATGAGGAACGGAATATTCTTGAGTAAAGACTCACCCTTATAACCTAAGAGATTTTCGCTCCCTAATCACTTGAACTTAATTAAATTTCTTTCATTCATCCTTGTGTGAGTAATTAACATGTGTAGCTAGGCATCATGAGTAGTGCAAAATAGCAATTGTAGCAGAATCAGCTGCAGAGAGGCACTGCTATTAACGATGGAGTCATTAATGACTGTGTCAAATGCAAGATTTCTTACCAAAAAGATACTGCTTTCATTTCTTAAAATTTTGCCATTATTTGGTTTAAAATGATTCTAATGGCTCACGCACAGGCGCAACTGTCCTTTTGTTGGCTGAAAATTTAAAAGCTACCGAGATATTTGACTTGATTGATGCAATAAATCCTACGACAGTCGAACCACCCAAGAAACCATGACAAATCACCTTAGGGCTTACAAAAACGATTACATACACTGGTGAAAAACCCAGTAAAATAGACTTCTATGCTATTAAATACCTCTTAAAGTATAATGTAAAACACTCTAGTGAGGGTATTCAATGCAATGTTCATTATTGATTCACATTGACACATAGCTATATCACCATTTTCTTACTTTCCATCAAGAGCACTGGGTCTGACATAAAAAGTCTGCAGAGGAGATGTCTGAAGGAATGCATGACTTGAATTAAAATCCACAAGCCAACTAATGGTGCCCATGCAGAAAACCCTTTTCTCGGTTTTGGATGTATTCCCTCAACCCCACACTCGACAATCGTTTAACAAGGCCTGGCAACCATCAGCCTCACTTCAATAAGTTTCCTCCCAGATTGGTGGACAAAGATTGATCAGAGCTGGTCCACCACTGATAAAGACAAGGATTTTAAACTTTACTTCACCGCATTATCGTGTCTCAAGAGAGAATTCAAATAGAAAATACATACTTACTTGAGTCTATGGTTATCCCGTAGCACACATGAAGAAGGGCTCAGGGTGTCTTGCACCATGTGATCTTTACTAGTTGTGAGGCATGAAGCTAGGCAACATCAAAAAAAAAAAAATGTTAGAAGTCGAGCTGGGCAGACTCACCACCGGCGGAAATTTTTTAGTTCATAAAAATAGAAAAGTTGGCTGAGATCAATAGATCTGTAGACACCCGAAAGCGAGTAGGATCCTCAACATGTGTTTACAAGTTTACATTGTGCACGAGGTGAAAAGATAAGCTGAGAACTGCTAGATTATTCGATCGAATTTCTGATACTTTACCGAAAATGGTTGGAAATGTTGGGCTAAACTTTCAAAAATTAAAATTAATTTAGAATTTGAGCGAATCCAGGAATCAGAGTAAGAATGTAAACACGTCCTTTCTTGATTTTAGCGGCAAATTATCAATTTTCTTCTCCTTCTTCTTCTTCAAATTTGACAATTTGTAGGCACATCCGCGTGAGAGAGCTAGTGTTCTTTCACGAATTGACCTTGGCGCAAACCAATCACAGAACCTTCTTTACGCGCTCGAATTCAAATTGTCGGAACTTCCAATTTACCATGGACGTGATAATAATTATTGATTTTCGTTTAGATTTTTCATAATAATTTTGGATAACTTCGAAGAGAGATCCGCACACCTATGTAACAATGCGCTTCTCAACATTGGAGTTGTGTAGATTAAAAAGTATGCAGGTATTGAAATTCCACGAAAAAAGAACCCAACACTTTTAGATTTCAAAATCTTACAAAATTAAATCAATACAATTTAGGTTTATAAGCTTTGAAATGTGGAGGAAAACTAAAGGCGTTCCTTTCCTATTTAGGAAATTTGTAGTACTGGATCTTCGTCCACAGGCGGATCTAGATACCTCGATCGGTGGGGGGGGGGGTGTCTTCCCTAAAATTTTGTTGAATTTTTGAAGCTATTAACATGCACATGCAGTTTGTTTGTCTTGCGTAAGAATTTACCGAATGTGATCGTATTTCCTTCTTCTTTCCTTCTCTTTTTCTTCCTCCTTTTTTTGGGCGAATGAATCCGCCCTTTAGCGCCTTTGGTAGCCCTTGGTATTTGAAGTATTTACATTTTTTTAAAAAAAAATAGTCAAAAAATTAAATTTACAAAGAAGACTGTTGAATGGCGACTGATGACTCTCATTTTTATGGACTTGGCATTCCTTTCAGATGACCCGTTCCTACCCCTCCTACCTTCGTTAAGCATTTCGGTATTGCGGTATTACTGAGATATGGAAACACCTTAGCTACGCTGAAATATGTGCCGCTGATAAAATCGGCTGCTACTTACTGCATCGTCGCGTTAAATTCTTTAAGCGGTTCCATAAATTCCTGCTGAAGGTACGAAGAGCGGGTTGGGGGGATATTTTTTTTTTTTTTTTCGCGTTTTTTCTTTTCTTTGCTCTGCACCTTTTCCCTCAATTCATTCCTTCTGATACATTTCCTGACCATTTACCATCCTTGGAAGGTCATGACGGGGCTTGAACATGATACAAAAAAATTCCTCTAAATTCACACGCATGTAGTTTTCTTATTCCGTCCTCTATCATGCCGTGTCGTCGGTACGAAATCCCCTCCTCTCTTCTCACTACGGAGTTTAGACATCGTGCATCCTTTGTCGATCCCAAGGTAAACACGATGCCGCTAACATATCTGTTCCATTTTCATCAACATCAAAAGAGTGGGTTAACTGAGACGGTAGCAAGAAGCGAGAATGATACAACTATGTAAAAAACAAGAAAAAATCATTTTTTACACACTCATAGTATAAGATTCCAAGTGTGATTTGGGTCCGTAAAAGTAAGTACGTAGTCAGCGGGAGAAAATCAAATCACGTGGCCAGGGAATAAGGGAAAAATCATTAAAATTGAAAGTCGAACTGACAGCGTGAATATTCTCTTTCTATGGGATCTCCCGAATTTCAAAATTTCTTTATTAGCCAAGTGAGCGCCAAAATATTGCCATCGTTTTTTCAAATTTCGAATTTTCATAAATATTTCTCTGTGTAAGAATCCCTTTTTGCGCTGCGAGAATCCTTCAAATTTTTGCTTTGCTAAAATTTCGAAACAAATGAAATTCCCCGAGGCGGGACTTTTGGTTTTGCCAGTTAGGTTGGCATGACGTTGCTGTAATCTGTAGATGGTGATTGAGAAGGTGCTGATTATGTCGAATTTTCTTTATATTAATGTGGTTTTGCTATTATTTTAGTTCGATATTTTTGAAGAGTAAACCGTGAATTGCAGCGCCATTCCGTTACAATCCTTCCTGTCACTTCGCTTTTCCACCAGACAGTCCTAGAATCTGCGATTCGTCACCGAGCTGATCCTCAGTGCCAACAGGTGAGTTCATGGATCAGGGATTGACCTGACATGTTCAAGTCGATACATTTTCCACTTTCTCGCACTGGAATCGGTCTAATCCTGCTATTAGATCATTCTGAAGGTCTTTGATAAGTCAAACTATTTAGTCGTAGGACTTCTGAGTGAAACGACGAGATCTTCGATAACAGTCATTTGCCCAATCTCTACATGCTGTGTCCACAATAGCAAAACATACAACTTCTTTGCCTATGAAACTGTGACAACTGGCGGTTTATATCAGCAGATTTTCGCATAGCGTTGTCACTTTCGTCGTAACAATAACTGTCTATGTGGTTTTCAACTTTGCTCGAACGAAATTACCCTTAAGGACGCATCATTCATATTTTTGTTTTACGTAGGCCCCGGTTGCACTTTGATAAGGAGTACGGAGGCAGGCCTGCTCTTCTTGTCACCGATGACTCATTTAAGTCTCAATATAATACTGTCCCAAGCATAGGATTGTCAGTTGTATGGTTTGAACAGTCAATAACTAAAAAGTTCACCTGTTTGTGAATCAACAATTTGTCCGAAACATTCAGCCGTATTGTTCAGGAACTAGGGCGCTCTCCTAGGAAGCAGGTGGCTGAAGGCCTGGCCTTTTCAGCTTTTTGGGAAATACTGAAGGAAAATAGGTGCAAATGGCTCATTTTAAAGAACTGTTAAGGATTTTTAAAGTTTCATAGGAATGGTGTGATGTCAAAGCCTAGCTATTCCGTAGTTGAGGATGTATTATACTCAACCGCCCACATCATTCGAATACAGAATGAGTAGATAGTGGAATTTCTGTAATGTATTTTTGCAGGATAAGGAGTGTTTATTTTGCCTCTCAGGCAATGCATAGGGATACATTGCACCAGATCCCTAAAGCCTGAGTTGCAAGACTTTTCTGAGGAAATGTAACCTCTTTTCATGCACACACAGAATTTTCCAGCCCTGCCTGCTGAATTTTTTCATTTTGCAAGTCCAAGTACTAAAGTGCCTGAAATGTCTTAATTTTCAAAACACTAATGTCAGGAGTTAAATATCCTGAACTGATCCAATATCCTGCATCCCATCAGCGTTTTCCAGTAAAATTTAAGAAAGGAAGTATTCATGTACATCATTGTTTGAGGGAAAAAAACAGAAACAAATCCCACTGTATGTGTCATCACTAGAATTACTGGCAATCCACAGATTGTCATAATGTGCATTTTCTTCAGACTTGAAAGCACACAATGCACAGGGGATTAAACTGGTTTTGATCCTGCACTCAAGTCAAATACCTGCAGTCACATCAGTCTCATATCATTCTTATTTAATTATTTTCGTTTGCTTTAATTTTACCGGAAGATACTAAGCGTTAAGAGCTAATTTATCCTTACCTCAAATGGCATTTTTAGTGCTGTCAAATATCCCTCTCTAGTTGGCACCTCATAATTCAGGACTTGCCTCAGGTTTAGATTCTCTCTTTTGAGAAACTGCTAGATGCTTTGCCATGCTTTCCATGGTTTCTTGTAATGTATTGTAACAGAATCATTGTTGAATTAGATGAGACTGCCACTTATGAAGTGGCGTAATAAGTAAGACATAATCCTAAGAGTAAATGGTGGAATATATTACATTATTTTATATCATAGCTCTGCTGTGAAATGCAAAAACGCTGTAAATGTCATTTTACATTTTGGAAACATTGTATCATAGCAATAGAACTTGTGTACGTTTGGACAATGTTTTTACAGAATTCTTTCGCAAATACTATCAAGAACTTAACTTGAAACTTTGAGGTGCATGGGTAAAACAATTTTTTTTTCATAGAGTGTTAAGTTCCAAAAAGGGAGGGAAAATCTTGATGGATTTACAGCGTTCTTGCTTAGCACGGCAGAGCTTTTCATTGCCTGGAAAAATTTGTTATCTTGGAGGGAAGATGGCCCTGGTTTGAAGCACATCAGTTCCTAAAACCTAGGTGTTTCCCTCTGTGCTATTCAAGATTTCTCAGCTGGATGCTACCTTTCTTTCATGATGAGCTGGCACTGATCGTATACTGTTCAAATATGTTCTAGATCCAATTCTTTCTAATCCAACAATGGGTTAGCCAGCTCCGCATCAATCTTACGGGAATGATGTTGTGCTCTGACTGAGCCTCAGCAATGAACGAGTCTAACCCCAATACGCGGCACATTGTCCAGGTACTGTATATTGTTTCTTGAAGTTAGCATAAAATTAATAAATACTATCCTGGGACCGGAGGGAGTTGGAGGTGACCCAATTGATCAAAGGATTATGATTATATGTTTTTATAATCGTATCCTATGCTCGTTTAAATTATAATTACCAAGTTAAAACCTGAATCATCCATTCATTACATTCTCATTCTATATATCTATGCACAGCGTATTCTCTGACAAACTCATTTCAAATATTAAGTCATTCTCAACAAATTAGATCAAGTAAATTTAAACATATTGAATTACTTAATTTGATTTTAATTCTGAATTATTCAAATGGTGATTGTTGAAAGAGAAATCAATTTTTAGTAGCTATTGTATCCTTCAGAGGTATTAATAAAAGCAACTTGAAATGATTGTCAGTCATCACCTTCCTCTAGACATCCCGTCACATTTTAAAAAGGCTATTAGCTCTGCAAGTTGAATCTGCATCTAATCTGAGTGTGAGAATCGTCTTTGTGTAATTGTAATTTCCAAAAATTTTCCTCACAGTGCATTAATACAGTCCTTTGGTTGCAGGTGTTTGTGGGTGCCTTGTCGCAGCACTATGAGGCATTGTCAGTGGAGGCGTCCAAGCAGACGACTTCTGAGGAAATCGTATCTTGCATTGTTGAGCGTCTGTCCTTGGGACTGGGCGCAGGTGGCTTTGAGCTCGCCGAAGTGGTCGGCGATGCACTCGGCCGGGAATGTAAGGAGCGGCGGCTTGGACCTCTTGAGTGTCCAGCTGCCGTCATGCATTTATGGCCCAAGTCTTGTGCTGAGCGGGCAGAATACTACAGGTATTTTCAAAATCTAAACTGTAAAATCTTTGCACTTAAACTCTGAGGTGCATCTTTACTCTCGAGTTTTGAGTTTGCCAGTTTCAATGCTCCAATCTCATTCCAAAGATTGGAGGAATCAATATTTACCATCATGCCCAGTTTTTAGAATTTTCCACAAAATTTTAGAAGCCTCAAATTGTTTGAGTAGTTATTATGAAGCATGCAATGCTACAAAAAGCAAGGGTGCAAGTGGTGCAACAAAGAATTTGATCAAGTTTTTTAATTGTTTCATTTGGTAGCATCTCTTCTCTTTAAGCACAGTCTTTACATGATGTCCTTTGAAGTTATGAAGTTACAACACTGATTGCCTCCAAGCTATTTTACATTTTACCAGAGAAATTATTTATTATTTTTATATTTAAAAAATATATTTTTACTTGCCAATTCAAAAATGCATAGTATTTCTTGCATCTCATTAAAGTTGCATAGGAGCTGAGATAAACTGTATGAGTTCTCACTCCTTTATTCAATGGAAGACTTCACCATACCTTGCGTCATATCCATGACTGCTGTTTAGTGTTGCCAAGTATTTTGTTTGACACTAAGCTGGGGGCATTAATGGAGTGTGATCTAATAACCAGGTCAAAAAAAGACCCAAATCGGTGTACATCTGCAGGACCCCAGTTAAGTATTCCAATATATTTACCTGAGCTGAACACACACATGAGAGTTTGAATTCTTCATTGGTTTTTTCTGGCTTTGATTTTTCTGCAGAATATTGTGGACCCAGCATTATTATACCATCCATAAAAAAACAAGGATATAATCTATACCTAGTAGTCCATGGAAAAAGAACTCAGAGAGGGAGATGTAGGTACAATGAATTGGACGTATTTCTGCCAAACGGAACTATGTGCATCAAGACATGAGCCTTGAAACCGATAAGAATATATGCATAATGAGGCTCACGTCATAATGCACAAAGTTCCGTTTGACAGAAATACGTCCAATTATGCCTCTGTCTTATCAAGCATTATACACAGCATCCCTGTGGAAATACAACTATCTGCTTTCTCGAGTGAAGTCAACTCTATTTGAGGACTTTAAAATTTGTCTCTACCCATTTCAACCGCAGCAAAGTGTCCACCAATTTTTAAGAAAATCATTTTTCAACATATTTTGGTTATTTTTTTTGTGATATCTGAAGTGAATTGGTGTGCCATGTGCCATCTTTAGATAGAGTAATGATTTATTGGTCAACAAGATCTGTAAAAAGCCAGTGATTTCTCTCTTCTCAGTATTGAAAAAAAGTAACATCAATATCTGTACTTATGACCGCGATTAAACATTTTGTGCTCTATCTGTGTTTTACAGGTTTTACCTGAGGGAAAAACTACCCGACAGCCTGTGGGCAGAAAACTTCACCATGGATCCACAACTGATTAAAGATTATTTTTATCGTTTCCTGTATCAGCCGCAAGATAGAGAGTACCCAGACCTGTGTCAGCTACCTGATTTAAATGAGAAGACATTAATGGAAAACCTGAGAGCCAGGTTTACCGCAGGCCATATTTACACTTATGTTGGATCCATATTAATTGCGGTTAATCCTTTTAAGGTAAATTATAAGCAATGACTGCATATTTACAATGAATATATTAGTATAGAGTGGTAAAAAATAGATGTCCTCTCAAATTTTTAATATCCTACAGGTAAATTAAAGTTAAAAACTTTTTTGGCAGTTCTGGCCTCAATCTTTTTACTATCTTGTTTCTTGTTCAGAATTATGAATTTAAGTAATTTTGCAATTATTTGGTGGTAATTTGTGACTTCAAGTTTTCTCTGAAATGGTCAATTTTTGTCAAATTGTAAATTTTAGCTATCAAGAAAATTTATGGCTCTGAATATTGCATGAATGGCTATAAAGGAATCTCAAATCCAAATTTTTGCTGTGCAAGCTTGCTAGTGACCCAAAGCTCAATCTAATGTGTTTTTCAGTTCCATCCGATCTACAACCCTAAATATGTCAAACTGTATCAAAACCGAAGGCTCGGACCGGAACTGCCCCCTCATATTTTTGCTGTGGCTGATTTGGCATACCATAGCATGCTTCGTGAACGTAAGAACCAGTGCATAGTCATCTCTGGTGAAAGCGGGAGTGGAAAAACAGAGTCCACCAATTTTCTGCTCCACCACCTCACTGCACTGAGTCAGAAAGGTAGTCATGGTAGCGGTGTCGAGCAAACCATTCTAAGTGCCGGTCCTGTTCTAGAGGTAGGCTTCCTAACGGAATTGAAACTTTATTTTCCAAGCAGCCTGTGAAAAATTAATAAATTTCAAAGAGTCTTAACGCTCCGATGCCTTGGTCAACTAGAGCTGACCAATGACCATGGTTACCCTATGCAAGCCTAGACTTTAGTTTGCATAGAAAATGGCATCATTCCTCAGAGGATATATGAAATATAGGAGACTTTGCCTGAGGTCTATAGCATTTTAACTGTAATTTTGCCTCAGTAAGTTTAACCCCAGGCCCTCAAGAGCAGGCTGCAAGTGGTTTTTAGCAGAGTTAATTGACTGTTTACGACCTGCATGTCGCAGACGTGGCCAAACAGGCGATATTTTTGTCAAAGGGCCTCATTTCGATGATTTCCGTTGCGATTTAACTCATCACTTGTTTTCTTTCTCTCATCAAAGCTTGGGCCATTTAGGGTGCTTGAGGAACCTGTAAAAATGTTTCTCAAATTTTAAAAAAAAACACTCACATATTTTCTCTCTTTGAGCCCATAGGAGCTTAGAGTTTCTCACTTTTTAAAAATAAAAGACTTGTTAGGAAAAGCTAATGGGTGCTCATTGTCTTATATATTTAATCATTTAATTTATTAGGCTAAACTCATAGCAAGTACACATTAAAAATGAAAAGGAAGAATTTAATTATCTTGAATTTGTTCTGAAGAAGATTACCTGAGCGCAATCAAGATTAGAGTGTTTGTTTTATAGTTTTGTAGAAACTGCAAGATTCTTAGAACTTTAAGAATACTCAATGTACAACATATTCAACCAAATGAATAAATAATGAGTTGTTCTAACACATAGGTTATGAAAAAGTTAAAACACCTTGTTGTCAGAATATCATCTGTCAATATTTCATTCATGATCTTAATATGACACGATTTTGTTAACTATTTCTTTTCTCTGAACAGGCTTTTGGGAATGCTAAAACAGCTCACAATAACAATTCAAGTAGATTTGGCAAATTCATACAAGTCAACTACAAAGAAAATGGAATGGTGCATGGGTAAGTGTAATGCCTTTCGAATGATTATTGTCAGAAGTGCTACTGTGGAACGCAGAAGTTACACTCATAGTAATGAAGAAATTAAAATCATTCAAGCTCTGCCCATCTCGTAACAAGTGGAAACTAAACTCTCTTCAGATTTATACTTTCCTGCATTAAATTGAATGATTTTGTAGAAAAATATATTAACATTTTTCAAGTTGTCATCTGTAGCAACTGTCTTCTTATAATTGAGGATCATCTTGAAAAAATCTGAATGAGAAACGTAAAAGGAATCTCTCCTATTTGTGGGGGCTCTCTTATTTCACAAGCCTGGTGCGTGATCAGGCTTGTAGAATGGTCGGAAAATTTCTACACCCCTACATGGTGTAATACATGATACATTAGTGCGTAACTTCCATCAGTGTCAGATTGACTCACAATCAGTGCCTGTAGTGGTAGAAGGAAGGGGGTGGAGTTATGAATGCATAATACTAAATTTATGTTCGAACAATCAAGATCTAATCAAACCATTTTCCTCAATGGAGCAGTTTACACTGAAACCTACGGAAGTGCATGCATTATTCCATAACATTTAGTCTATCAATAAAAAGTTTTGCCAACATTTTTTATGTGAACATGTTTTTTTCCTCTTCAGAGCTGTGGTTCAAAAATATCTATTAGAAAAGTCACGAATAGTTTCACAAGCAAGGAATGAAAGAAATTACCATGTATTTTACTATTTGCTGGCTGGCGCTTCGGATGCTGAGAAGCAAGCTCTTCATCTCCGAGCGCCTGAAGATTATAACTACTTAAATAGAGTAAGTTTTGTTTTTTCCTATTTTTTTTTTAACTCTCATTTTTTTTATTATTTTGGTTCATCCATATTTTAAGGAAAGGATGAGTTGATGACAGCTGGGCACTTATCACAGCTGCCCCCTAGCAAGCCTCTTGCATTTCTAAAAACTGCAGTGTATATCTTATGTCTTTGGATAGCATTAAGCAAACCATTCACATTTCCATTGAGCGTTTTGAAAAGAGACCTATGTTAAATACGGATGCACACAAAATTAGATGAAATATCATCTGATACACAGCAATCGAGAAACAATAGGCATGGAAAAACCACCCAAAACTCCATGAAACTCTTCGGTCACTTCGGTGTTCTTATCCCTTTGTAGATATAACCTGTTTGCTCAATCCCGTTCCCGCTTGAACACAGTTTGAAAATATTTTTATTCATTCTATCGAACATAGACCTTAAATGGGCACAAAAATCATGGAGTGATGGGAGTCCAGGGCAACGGCTTTTATCAATACCCTTCTTTTCATTAAAACTTGTGTGTTTCCCTCTTTTCTCCTTTAATTATTATTTTTATTTCAATCAATTAATTTTTCAGACATCAAGTCAACCATTGATAATCCTCAGTAAAATTTAAAGTCTGAACTGAAAACTGAAGAAAGTGAATGAACAGGGTATCTAGCATCAGGATTTTCCTGATTCTATTAGGATTTGAGGTCAATCAGGATTAGAGGAAAAAATCAGTAGTAAAATCAGGATTTTAGCCATCAAGTGTGTGGGGTTATTTTTCAATTTTAATTTTTTTTTTTTAAATCAGCTTTTGGATTTATTTCATTTTCTTTGTGGTTGATTGGCCAATCGAGTCTGGTTCATTAACGTTTGCTATCATTTTCATTGATTCGCACTTGTTTTTAATCCTTAGAACTTAATTCTAGAGTTCTGCTCTTGCATACGCTTATGCAGAAATTTTAATTTTTCTCTGGATTTGATCAGGATTTGGAAAAATTATGAAATTAGGATTTAGCAGTAAAATATCAGGATTTCATCGGGATTTCCCAAAAGGGAAAAAACTAGACACCCTGATAAACATGCATATTTCATGCTTGTAAATTTTTTCTCTTCACTTGTAGGCTTTTCATCCAATGCGTAAACATTGCGTAAGACAGAGTTTTTTCAGAAGAAAAATATCGCATTCGATTCTGATATCGAAACTACACTCAAATGCAATATTTTTCCTCTGAGAAAACCCTGCCTTTATTACGTTGAATTTCTTTGCCAAATTTGGTATATGAATTCTTTAGTCTCATGACAACAGAAGTGCGATCTCAAAATTCGAAAAAAATGACAAGTAGCTGAAATTATGGAACGAATTGATGCGATGTATCGCACCTCGCTCTGACACAAAAAATGGCAACTGTTGAATCACCTTAAATCTCTTCGTTTTGGGTTAACATTCTGCTTGTCTTTTATTTTGTGTTATTTTAGAGTGGCAATACAAATAAAAATCATATCTGTTTATTTCAGAGTGGCTGTGTTACTTTAGATAATGTTGATGAAAAATATGAGTTTTCAAGACTGAAGCAATCAATGGAAATGGTCGGCTTCTCACCAGAAAAACAACGTCGGCTGTTCGCTGTTTTATCGGCAGTTTTATTACTAGGTGAATATTGTTTCTTCAATGATTATAATAAAGTCCCCTTGAACTTTTTTTTATACTAAAAACTTCAATCAAAGATGAGTATGCAGCAACAGTTAATATTGTAGTAGCTGTGTCTAATGATCCACATTTTTAATTGGACACCTTTTGATTACTTGCTTCAGGGTGTTCCTCTATATAACCCTAGTCGTGCTAATGATACTGTCTCTGCAATATCTGTTTAATAAACTAGGTTACTTTCTCTTTATTTACGAAGAAATGTATGGTGACTGCCTTTTTCCCTCCTTTTTTCTTTTGTCAAAAAGGCATACATTAAAAAAAAAAATATGGAGGGATCTGTAATTCAACATTTTATTTTTTTTCTAACTTTAATTTCTTTGAATATTCTCTTCGACTACACAATCTATTTTCTTTCGTAAGACCTATAAATTACCTAGTACCCAATAATTACCTTTAAATTACCTAAAATTACATAAGAAAATTTCCTCCATTATTTCTTCAGTAACTAGTGATTGATGCGTTGATTAGCTTGATGACAGCATCTTTGTGTCTTCTCAGGTAACATGGAATTCCAACCGCGAAAAGCAGCATACCACCATGACGAAGCAGTTGGAGTAAAAAATCCACAAACAGTGCAATTGATTTCTGAATTACTGCGAGTAAAGCAAGAAACTCTTCTTGCTGCGTTAACTGCAAAGCGTGCTCGTGCATCTGGTGAAACACTTGTCATTAATTATAAGTTACCCGAGGTAATATTATTTACTTTATGGTTCCTCTTTATTTGTAGATCAAAAAAATCTTAACTGTGTGGTTCATCACCCCACTGTATCCAGTAGACACATCAAAAACCAGGTCCCCTTTGACAAAACCAAAAGCTTATTGTTAGTCCCACAGAGTTCATGCCAGTAAGGCCAGCTTTGCCAATATTCAATAGAACAACAATCATTTTGTTCAAAAACTGACCCATCACTGGAAATGCTCACAGTGTGGGAGAGAAGTTTATTTTCTTTGGAACGAATAGTAAAATCTGGCATGATCAATGATGAGTGCTTTTCAAATGAGAAGCTCTAGAAAGAGATTATAAATCTGAGTTTCATGGTAGCCCTATGACATAATGGTTTGAGGTGTAAAACTGATGTTTTTCAGTATGTATGAAGGTAACAAATATTCTTAAGGTTATGTGCTGTATAAAGCAATCTGTTTAATTTAAAATAAAGTTATCCAAAAGTAAATAAGGAAAAAAAAATTCTCAAAAAAAAGTAATGAAAATAGTGAATTCGTTTTAAATGAAAAATTGATTTAACTTGTAAATTTAAATGGTTTTTTTTCTTTTTCAGGCTGTGGCTGCACGAGACGCGATTGCAAAATGTTTGTATGGTGCTCTTTTTGATTGGATAGTCCTTCAAGTCAACCATGCGCTCCTCTCGAAAAAGGACACATTGCGGGATCATCATGGACACTCAATTGGAGTTTTAGATATTTTTGGCTTCGAAGATTTTGGATTGTGCAATAGGTAAGCTTCAAATTCATATCAACATTCGAAGATCCAAATTTTTTCTTGCTTCTCAATATTTTCTTTTGATTCCTTATTTCTAGGCGATCAGTAGGCAAAAACATAATTTCAAAGAGCACAATTATTTCTTTCAGATGTTTGAAAAGAGGAGGAAGAGAATTTAAATTGCTCAGTGGCTATTGTGCACCTTTTATAATTTCTGATCTTTAGAACAGAGGCAACTTAATTCTGCTAGAGATATGCTAATCAGCTTTCCAGTGATGCTAACAAAATTCATATGGCCGTTGCAAGATCCAGTTATAGCCGTTAAATTAAGTGTTTTGAAGTAAAGTTTAGCGAGAAACCCATTTCCGTGCCAAAATACTCAGAACAGCTTTTTTGACTGAAAACAAGAGGCTTGAAATTAAAGTTACACAGAAAACGTGTTTCATTGGCCTAAAATTTATGGCGTCAACCACCTTGAATCCAATTTAGCATGGCTGCTGCAAGATTCAAACCTGAAACAAACGATTTCATTTAAAAAAAGTAACACTTATTCTTTTCAAACAACTCTAATATTACTAGCTCAGTCAAGATACAAGACGTCTTGTTATAATTGCCTCCGGAAAGTAAATGAACAAATGCAGGTAGAAGGATACATGATGTTTAATTCTTTTGTGACAAAAGAAATCTGTTTGAAAGATATTTTTCTATCTGACACAAGGTTAGATTTCAGGTGACTTCGAAAGTCTTATTCTCAGCTAAAACTCAACTAAATTAAAAAAGGGAGAATGTAGGCATTCTCATGTCTTACGTACCTACCAAAAATGAATGTGAAAAAATTGTGGAACAGCCTCATTGTCCATTTGTGAAACCATATCTCTTTGTAATGGTTGTTGATGCAGTGCTACCGTGATCGTTCAAGGCAATTCTGTCGCAGACTTTTCAGCACGGTCAAATGGCAAAGCAAATTTTGAAGTTCTGTTAATGTTGTCAGTCTTGGAGATGTAAATAATCGAAAGTCTATTATGTTGTATACACTGATTTGTGCCTCCAGAAAATTGAGTTGCATATTCACAACATGTTAATTCAGACGCGGACATCCATCCACCCCAAGCACTAAAAACAGCACCAATCAGCATTCGGAAAGTTTATTTTAATTTTGATGTAGCATCACCAAGTCAAAGTTTTGTATTCACAAACCCTCAAAAATGTATTCAATTGTAAGTTATGAATTCAATGTGTGATTACTAAATAACGCTTCACTTTATATTTCTTGTTTACAGCTTTGAACAATTTTGCATAAACTATGCAAATGAACACTTACAGTACTATTTCAATCAACATGTCTTTAAGTATGAACAAGAAGAGTATCGTAAAGAAGGTATCCGGTGGAGTAATATCGAGTTTCTTGACAATACTGCATGCCTCCATCTTATTGAAGGGAAACCCAATGGGCTCCTCTGTCTATTGGATGATCAGTGCAAGTGAGTACCATATCAGCGTAGTATCAAAAAAAATCTACATTACCAGAATGCGACATCTGTTCACCTCGAAAATCTGCTTACATGGTTGTTTTAACACATTCTTTGCCAAGCCAGTCATAGTAGCTATTTTTATTTTAATGGTTACTACAGTCCAATTAATTAAAAGGCATTGGTTCAATACCTTCTCGACCATGCCTGGTCACGCCCAGATTGAGGTTATGGCGTTAGTAAATCGATGAAATGCCTGTTTATCAATGGCAGTGTAATGGGAAATTGTGAGTTTTGACGTTAATTTACTATAGTACGGCCAATTTTCATCATTTTTTTTTGTGTGTTGTGACTCCCCAAGTTCCCTCTGAAGATATGAGCAGTTACAGTTGTGTTTAAACTCGTTACAAGGAAAATATTGAAGATTTGATCTGTACCTAATCTTGCGCTTCATGCAGATTGCTGCTACTAGGGTGGAAATAATTGATTTTCGTTCAAGTGGTGGAGTTTTCATCATAGGAAAGTGATTTTAAATCATCTTCTCTCATTATAGTTCTGTAATACAAAACTGCAGTCTCGAATTTCTGTCTCATATGCAACCATGAAGCCCATTCTGAGGTTTGTGCTCGCATTTTTCCTGTGGGATTTCATCACCTACCCAGTTCAGACCCACAGGAAGTTTTTCTGTATGATTGCTCTCTTTCCTAAGCAGATATGGCACTCTTTTGCAGTCAGACAAGTTCACCTCTTAAATTAGTATCTTGTAAATGATTTCCTTTCTCATCCAATAAGTATTCAAGTACCTTCTGCTCGCCAAATCAGCTCGCTGTTGCAGTGTGAAAGCCCAAATTTTTGCTTTGACAATCAGTTTTGAATCTAGTGGTCTCTTGTCAGTCCAATTGCTCAAAACTGTTCATCAAAGTTATTTTCATCGTAGTGTTTAGACCTCCAACATGAATGCCAAGGATTGGTAATATCTTACCTTAATTTATACTCTTTCAATGCTACTTTTCCCAGCACTATTGCTGTTTATCATGCACTTTAAAAAAAGTTTAGATAAACTCTACTAATTCCTTAGAAATTTTTGCACAGATGATGAATGGCACTGTATCAAATTCATCATCTTCTGATTTAATGAGAATAATATAACCAGGGTATAGTATTGACTTTAAAGATTCGTTCCTCTTTGAAAGACCCTCCTTTAATTTTTCAAAGCTAGGGATTATGTCTTTCTCCTCTTGTAGCTGGAAATTTCTTTTCAATTGAACTTGAGCCATGTCTTGCTCTCGCTCTGCAAGATCTTTTCTTCGTTTAGCAGGGACAGTTGATCGGTATATGGGTTGGTTGGGAAAGATAGAGGGATAAGCATCGTCAGTCAATTTTGGTCTCCGTCTCTCAACTCGAATGATAGAGCCCTCTTTGCTCTTGAACTCATCATGCGTCACAACAAACTGAGGATGGAAGTGGATCATGCATACTACAGAACTTTTGGTAGGCGTAAAGCTATCCCTACTGAGAGCACTCAACCATTTTGCATGACGCTCTGGCTCTTTGGCAGGATCAGGGAATTTAAAGGTTGAGACATCAGGACCAGAGGAGCTTGCATAATTAGATTTGCAGCCAGGCACACAGCAGCAAATTGCTCTAAATTGCACAAATGTGTAGTTCAGCAAAAGCAGCAGCAAAATAGAAATATCACAGAAGCTAACGCTTACTTAAGTACCATATAAAATCCAAGGCATTATAAAAAAGAAAATCCATGCCATAAAATTAGGTAATAACGGATCAAAACTAGCACACACCTTAAAATCAATAAGATTAAGATTCTTACAATTCCAAGGAACGATCCAGTTCGCACGCTGAAGTGTAGAAGGCATCATCGTAGATAATGTGAAGTAAAATAAGGCTGTTTCATTGCACTCAACGTGCAGTTGAGTGCGCTCAGAGTGCAGTGAAACTAAGAGGTCTGAAAGACTCAAACTTAATTTTACTTCATATTTGATTATTAGGAGATCAAAGGCAAGCGTTGATGGTCCCTCTGTTACGACAAAATAAGCCATCTTACCACAGCTGCAACTTCACAAGACACACACAGCAGTTCGCCCCTTGGTTTTGCACAAAATTATTTGAGAAACTTCTTAGGAAGCTTTAATGATCCACACAAAAATTAATACATTAGGTCGTGGGAGGAAACACGAAGCTTTTCCTGAAAAAAACACTCAGTCAAACACATAGAGAAGAACCGTCCGATCACTTAGGGAATACGAGGAGAAATTGAACCGATAAAACTCATTAAAACGTTGAAAATCTCACCAAGAGTGAGGCTTATGGCACAGAATTGATTTCTGCCAGGAAAAAACTGATTAAACTTGAATTCAACAAGAAAACTCGCGATTTCGCACTCTTAACCCGTTAGCACTAACGTAAACACATTGCGGAAACCGATTTACTAACGACATAACCTCAATCTGGGCGTGACCAGGTATGGTCGAGAAGGTATTGATTGGTTCCCTCTGCCAAGGTCGATAGACCTGGGTCAGTCCTTTAGCAAGATGATCTGTGGAATTTTCCGACCTGGCGACGGATTCTCCGGATTTGCTGTTTCACTACTTTCCAAACGTTTCTCTGATTTGCGCTGCCCCATTGCATAGTTCCTCCTCAATCTCCCCGATCTTCTTAAGACCAATGTAATGGGATCAGAGGAACAGCAGAGTGGAATAAGCAAATCGGAGGAATCTGTTCGCAACGTGGACAGCCCTCACCCCCGATCTGCAAAGATAATCACACTCTACTTTTCTAACGGACTAACTTAGGTCTATCAACCTTGCCTTCTGCATCTCGTCTAATTACATTGCCACTTAAATAGACAAAATGGTGGTCTAAATCGGAACGGAGCAGGAAGCGATTATCATCCTTCCGGCCGAAGTATCACAATGAGTGCTCAAAACAATTATTGTTGCCTTACCAACTATTAGTACACTATCCTAATCGGCCCAATGAGCCCATTGATTATCGGAAGATTAATATTTTATGATTTATTTAAAAAAAAAATTTCCGATGATCGAAGGCCGTAGGTCACCAGTTGTTAACAGACTCCTTTACTATAAGTAACACAACAGTGATTTACCTGTATGTAATGAAATTATGGATATAATCTTGCTAACATCAAGTTTAAAAATCTCCAAGATCCTTACAGGAACATTTTGGGAGGTCTTTGTTAGCTTTTGTTAATTGCTTCTTTTTTTTTGATAGTTTTCCTGGAGCATCAAATGAAACATTATTACAGAAGTTTAACTCAGTGCATAAAGACAACCCCTTCTATGAGGTACCACAGCGGCGGGAAAACGCATTTATTGTTCGGCACTACGCTGGAAAAGTCAAATATCAGGTGAAAATCATTATTACCTAGCACGTTCTTATTCTCTTGTTCTCCCTTCGAATATTCACCCATCCTTAACTGCAACTAAAAATATTTGTCAGATTCATCAGAAATCTGTCTGGACAATATTAACTAAGTTTAAAGGGCTATAATTGCAAAGGAATTGCTGCTGTTTAATCAGATAAAAAAATTTCTCTCTTTTTTCCCTTCTCTCTTCCTTTATAATTTTGAACCATAGTGAGGTGGCGCACAGAGCAAGTCGTGTAACAAGGGATTGTCTGGCGAGAGTCCCTTGACTTACCGTGAAAGCTTACTGCATCGTGCCCCAAAAAGCTCAGTATATTTCTATCTGTAAAAAATCTCTTAAATTGCTTGCTCGCATGCTAATTTTGAATTGACCTTATTTTTCAAACAATCTTTAATTTACCTATTCATTCCTGTGATTTTATTTCAGGTTGCTCAAATGCGGGAGAAAAATCTTGACTTCATACGCCAAGACATTTTAAGCGTATTAAAAAATAGTAACATGGCATTTGTAAGAGAACTGGTCGGCGCTGATCCTGTTGCTGTTTTTCGATGGGCCATTTTGAGAGCATTTTTTAGAGGTTATTTCTCTTTTATGGAAGCAGGCAAAAGATTCCGTCAATGCAAAGGTACAGGTCTTAATTCTTCATTATATAATAATTTTACCATGGTTAGTACACACGTTGGACGAAAACAGATCTAGACTATTGAATTTGTGAAGTTTACAAAATAAAAAATAAAATAAATTTAAAATTAAAAAAAATCTTGGGTTCCAGTTGTCAAGCTTTTTGATACTTTGATCAGCATTTTGTCAACAAAAATTTGACTTCTTCTCCATTTTCATCAATCCCTCATATTTTCAAACAATCTGATCTTAATATTCTTTTTATCTCCCATGAGTATCTGAATTGAGAGGAAACCGTGAAAATATTTGTAAGTGTCTCAATCTGTATCAGTCGTGATTTCCTATGATGTCTATCAGTCTTTTTGCCTTGTTGAAAAAGAGGTGCATTGAAAGCAAGCACAATTTCCTCATCTATGGATGATGAATAATTTCCTTAGTATATTGTTCTTTAATGTAGGAAATGCCTTTTCTGAAAATTTTAAGGCCTTAAACCGGTGTTCTGCCTTTGCCTCAGAATTTTGGAATGTTGGCCAGAAAGCCGGTATTTAGTAGCCAAATTAACTTTTTACTTGCGAATCATGGTAAAAAATTTTTTGAGGGAGATCAGGAGTAATGAGTCTGTTTTTCACATTTCTGAAAAATTGCCTTCAGAAGTAGAACTAATCAATCCTGAGACACCCTGAACAGTCGCAGATAGAATTGACATGCTATGAGGTACTTATAACTGGTTGTCTTTGGTTTTGTTACAGCAGAAGGGAATTCACCAAGGAATGTCCCCAATAGGACAAGAAACCATATTCCCAACGATAATTTAATCAGGTGAGCAAAACTTCTTTCTCACTATTTTGAGTTGCCTTGTTTTCTGGAGGACTGCCATGAACGTCACTTTAAGTTACGTTGAAAACGCATTCGCGGGGGAATTGCATTTTATTTTCTCATGTGCTACATGTTTTTTTCCTCTTTTGTCTCTATTCTTGAGTTTACTCCATCAGTATTCTCCTGATCAGAGATTGTGATGTTTCATCCTTTGTGTAAAACAAAAATATCCTGTCGTACTTAATCAATTTATTCTACTATTATTTTGAGCATAATTGAGAACTTAGTTGGTAAAAAGGCTCACGTTCTCACCATTCTTTAGGAGGTAGCGGTTCCTGTATCCTTGCACTGAAAGGGTTTCAAAAATACCAGTGTATGCATATGATTAAAGGCTCATCGGGGAAACAGAGTTATTGTCACAGAAAAGATGTCAGATTCTGCGGTGTGTCCAGAGAGAAAATAATTTTTGATTGACAATTAGACAGATTCAACACCTGGGAGACAATGCCCAAAACATAGAGACTCTAAAGAGTTTATTGTGACCAGTCTTATACTCAGGTTACACTCGTAGAAACCGAAAGTAAAATTAAAAATCCATTGCTCTCGTAGGAGCCTCAATTTTGCCATGAAGCTGGAAAAATGCCCTAAAGAATATTTGAGTCAAAGGACTCCATCAATCTTTTTTTTTTTTTTTTTAATGAATGAAAAGACTAGACCTACTTTTCAGATTTTTTCATTTTAACCGACCTGCAAAATAACGGAATATCAGGTGAATGTGAATGTTTCCGCGACAGCTTCAACATATAACAACCTCATGAGCAAATTTTAACCTATTTTGCATGTACCTTTTAAATGAGCTTGTGATGGAAATCCATCAGGAGTAAATAGTTTGCTCTCTGTAGAAAAATTTTAAGATTACTCTCCAGCAAAGTGTTCTGAAACTAGTGCTCTTAATTATGATAACTCAGAGCTAAATGGTTGCTTTTTTTTTCATGCAAAGTCATCTGGTAACAATGTCGGTTGTCAACCTCACTGTTAATCGCATAGTGTAAGTCAATACTGAGTATTTCCCTGTTGGTGTCAAATAATTTTGTTCTTAATCCATGCAATTGAAGTTTATTTTCAAATCTCATATTTTTTCCCTTTTTTTTCTTCTTTTTAAACATGTCATATGCATGCAACTCTAGCCCAGAATGTGCTAATAGTCTAGTATTCTTTACTAGGAATGAGTGTAAGAACTGAAGCATGTTGTCAAGCTTAATTTTAGGTGAGACCAAAATGCCTCCAAGTATTAAACCTGTGAAATTTGATGTTGTTTCTAAGCCTTCTAGAAAAATGTTTGCTAGCATGCCTTGATGATCGTATGAATAAAAAAGGAAAATAATAATACATTAATTCTTAGAAATTATAGGACTTAACCTAATTCGAGGAAAATAAAATAATTCTTCATTCTTTGGAGAAATCATAACTATTGAATAAATCTTAGTTTTCTGAATTGAACCCTAGATTTCAAAATTTCTGTTCTTATTCGAAGATGCTCATGCCTGATTTCCTTATCATTTCGAATTTGTTTCTCTAAATGTCATTGGTACCATCTGCAGGCGACCATTATGCTATGGTTCACTAGCCACACCGTACTTGGGGAAACCACAACGAACAAACAATGAATTTAGCGATAGTCAGAACTCAAAAAGACTTGGCTCAGGGTCCAAGAGTCCTCATGATGTAAGCCACGTAGAAGCCAAAAATGACATTTTGATTGAATCAACGCGCAATATCTGTGATAAGAGAAGACGCTCAGTTTTATACCCAGAGGAAGCAAAAGTGTTTGAGCGTGCCACACAAATTGTTAAGTACGTACTTTCATTATTGGGTGGTGGTCATGGTGATGGGCTTTGGTCTCTCTCTCTCTTTTTTCTCTCTCTCTCTTTCTCTCACAAATTTCACTATTCCATCTCTTTTGTATCAGTTTTAATGAGAGACCAACGTTCTGTTTTGTTTCTAGTGTATTTTTCAAAAGGAGAATACACTGTCACATTCGTTCCGTATACAGACTGAAACTGATCACCCTCAAAAAAGATGAAAGAATTGACTTGAAATCGAAGTTTTTTTTTTATATAATGGTTATTTGATCATATGTATATATTTATCAATGCATCTATCCTTTATATATCTATATATAAATCGATTCATCTCCTCATCAAATGTGTGTCTACTTGTTTTTGCCTTTAATAATTTTGATGGCTTAGAGGATTCTCGTCTTAGTTGTTCTTGAATATTTTTTCAATGAATTTTTTATGGCACTTACTGCATCCTTTGATCGATTTTTTGGTGAAAAGCAACCAGAGATTTGAATTTTAGTTCCAAAGGAGTGGGACCGTAAATTAGAAAGAGCTGTAATCCTATATGATTGAGTATCACATAATAGCTTTGAAGTTTTTGCAATGCCAAGTGCTGCAGAGAAGACTACAAAAAGGTCACAATCCAGCAAAAGGATTGAACGGTTTTTCATCCAAGTTTATTTACTTCCTATTTCAATTGAATCAGTCTTAGTAGAAAATCTACTCAAATTCAGCATTTATACTCATTGCCTGTATATGTGCGCGGTTTTTCTCATGATCCTTTTGCAATGTTCACGTCTTTGCATCTATGAATTCAATGAATGGTTTCACTCCAAAAGAAAAAAGAAAAAAAAATTGTTTATCTGCAGGCAAGGCCTTTTTACATGAAGCATTTTACTTCATCGCTACGTACTCCTGTATCATTGAATGCTTGAGTAGTTGCTTGCGTAGTATAAGTTTTATCTGAAGAATCTTAACGGATATCTTCACAGTTTGCTTGTATTGCTGAATTATCTAGTGTGATTGAAATGATGTGACAATTACTCTGTAATGAAAGTGAATCAATTCAGTGCAATACTTTAATTCTACAACTCATCTACTAGTGTCTTTCACTAACCATTTTGTGTAAATTTTAATGTTTTGAAGTTAATTTTGAAATTTTGCATTATAAATATCAAGTAAAATTTTAAAGGAAGAACATGCAACTTGAAAAATGAAGTAGACTTTCACTTCCTGTTAAAATGAAGTTATAATATTTTCAGAAATTAGCTTTTTTTTCATCAGAAATTCTGAAAAATTAACCTGTACCCCAGAGGAACGTAGGAAAAATGTGTAAAAAAAAAAATGCACAGTCTGAAATATGAAAGCAATTGCCATTATTTTGCATGCTATCGATTTGCCATCACTTAAAGTCCTGAAGTTGTTTTACACAGGTTTCTCTGTGGTTGTCTCATAAGCCTGAACTAATCTAAAATGGGACAGCTTGGTGCTTGGCCTATGAGCCCAATGGAAATGCCATGTGGTTAAGAAACAACATATTACCTTCATCAAATGTTGATGAAATTTAAAGACTATTCTTCATTTATTTTTTCCATTTTTTATCTGGGTCAAATTTTGATGAGAGTAAAAGGGTATTTTTAAAGTATTATTCCATCTCTCTTTTAGACTAAATTTAACAGGAAGAAACCAAGTTATTTTCCGGAAAAAATAGCTAGCAAGTAGCAGTTTTGAGCTTGACTTGCTGCACATTTCCTCCTGTGAAAAATTTAAATTCGAGAGCAAATATTTTGAATGCGAAAATAGGCATTCAACTTAATCTCTCTCATTGAGTCTTTTGAAGAAATACAATTTTAAACCTTTTTTTCTCAGTTTGATCTTAATGTAACTTGGTTTCTCTTTGTTCAACCTTTTAATGTAGCAATTTTTTTTCATGATTTTTTGTTTGTTTGCTGCATGAGAAAAAGTTCCTGATTTTCCTTTAATAGATTTTTTTCTACACTTATTTAAACAGGGTGGTGCAGTTAAAGTATCGATATGTATTAATATCTAGAGAATAGTTACTGATATTGGGGTTTTGTTATAGATGAGTATTCCCTTCTAATGAAAGTGGAAATCTTTCCTGAGGGATCGATTCAAGAACTGTCAATTATTTTTGAATTTTTAATACCAGATTTGTGAGAATAGAGTCAAGAAGCCATTGGAAACCAAGTTTCAGCCTATTGTAATAATGAACAACCAAGATGCCAACTGCTTATTATTTTTACCTTGAACTACCCACCATATTGAAGTGGTTATGAACAAGTGCTTTTCATCGAATTTTTTTTTTTTATGTTAACGAGGTATCACACAATAGCAGTTCTGTTCTGAAATTCTAAAGTTGCCCGCTCCCTGCCCTCCAGAAAATGAAAGGGCAGGCTCCTCTGAAATTGCAAGTAAATGTCTATAACTGTTCTCTGAATATCATCCAATATCATTACTTAATCCACACCTTTACATTATCTAAATTTTCAAGTTCCAATTCTTATATTAACAGGAAGAACAAGTCTTTTAGGCCTCGCGAGCGGTCAAAAAAAGGCTTGAAAAATTTGCAGAGCGTCAAGACATTGGCAGGAAGTACACAAATTCACAGTCAGCTGGGAACGAAGGCAAGGAAACAGCCACTGACTGTCACTGCCCAGTTCCAACAATCACTCCACAGTCTCATGGATACTTTGAATCAAGCCAACCCGTTTTTTATTAGGTGTATCAAAAGCAATGCGGATAAGGTAAATCATTCATGAATTAATAGATTACTTCTGATCATTTTTTCAAAATTAGAACTTAATTCTGATTTTGATTTTTAATCGTCATGTTATAAACTTAGCATGTCTTGTCATCGAAAGAGCATACCAAGAATTCTCAGTAACAACCTCCAGGCGTATGAGTGTACATGAATAATTGAAAATGAAAACTTAAGGATCTTTCTTTTAAACGTCGATCTGAAAAAAATTGATCTCTTTCTCTCCTCCTAAAATCTTCATTCACTGTGGACCACCAGACATGGTACGAATTTAAAGATTCTGACACAAGTTTCCTCTTTGAGATTTCGCAGAGAAGATGATTCGGCCAACAAAAATTACTGCAAGTAACTACAAACCAAGATATAAACGTTTGTATCTAGCATTAGTAACAAAAAGTTTGAACTTCCTGCTCATATAAAAAACCAGAGTCTACTTGAATCAAATTGGTGGTTTGAATGGTTTTGGAAAACTTCGCCGCAAGCAGTGTTCCTTCCCCCTGTGTTCTCCAAAGTGTAAACAATTTGAAAAAGCTGAGCCAAAAGTGTTAATTTTGAGGTTGTCATACTTTCATCTCTCATATTTACGAAGGCTGTCAAGGTAATGTAAAGTGTGCAATTTGACTCTAGTGAATTAAGGTTTTTTTTTAATGAGAAGGGAAGTTTGAATTTATGTGTGGAAAAACGTTAGTATTTTTGTTTGGAGTCACTTTCAGTAATATTTGCCGTAGACATCGTGTTCTATGTGAAATTGTGATGAGATAATGTACATCATGATGCTTCAATTTGTACCGTATCTAGTTGGAGCTTATTAATTTTAGAAAATCTCATTTTTCGCAACACTAGAAAATTGAGTTAAATGAGTCATGCTAAGGAAAACATGCATTTCTTAAAAATTAGTATTTAAAGAAAGATAGATATTTACAGAGTATCGAACAGATTTAAAACGGTTTTCTTCATTTGTAGCCTTTTTTTTTGCCTGTCCATTTATTCTTACTCCTTATTTTTCTTGCTTGTTACCTGTAATGCATGTTCCTAAGATTTTAGCTTAAGTATATTTTTCTCCTTCAGCACAGAATTGATAATTTGTAATGTCCGTGAAAAATGGCCCCTTTCATTTATTAAATGACTGCTCTTCTTCTCTCTAGATTCCTAACAAATTTGATGAGGAGACAGTTCAACGACAATTACGGTACACTGGAATGTTGGAAACCGTTCGGATCCGACAGGCTGGTTACAATGTCCGTCTCTCGTATGATGAATTCATACAGTTATATAGGATCCTTTTACCCAGAGGATTGCTCAGGTGAGGATCTATTGCAAAGTCTTTTTACTATTTCTTATTGTTGGTAGATCAATCTGAAGTAAAAAACATTTATTTTTAATATTTTGAAGTTAAAGCATCTTTGTTCGTCAGGCGTAGAAAATTTTTCCAAGTAAAAAATATTACACTAATCTATGATGTGTCTCTTCTGATTTTACCATTGATCTCATGCTTTGTTCTAACACGAAACGTGAAAATCTTACATTGGAAATAATTATTTCGAAACGAATTTTGAGTGGCAAGTTTGTACCTATTTGTCTGCAGTTTGAAATATTGAAAGTTCAAGTAATTTCAAGTGTCCCAGTAAGAGTTCTCTTAACATTTCGTTCAATCTTTTCAGCTCACAAAGCGACGTGAAAGAGTTTCTGCTCACGCTCAACTTAGACAAAGACAATTACCAAATAGGAATGAGCAAAATCTTCATGCGCGAAAGTGAAAAACTCAAGTTAGATTATAGGTTACATCAACAAATTATGGCTGGCATAGTCACCATTCAGCGGTGGTTCCGTGCTCTCATGGAGCGGCGTAGGTTCCTCCGAATAAAACAAGCTGTCGTCCAAATTCAAGTAAGTATTTTCAAAAGGAATTTTGCCTCTTTCTGTTTTTTAAATTTGTTCTTTGAACACTATTGGACTCGTTTAAGTGCTCATTTTAATTGCAAATACGGATGCCACCATGCATTTGGTTTGTATCACCTCAGAGCTTACTAACAAAAATAAAAATAGGAAGCTAAAAGGTTTCAAGCGTCAGAGGCCATTGATTGACTGCTAAAATTAGATGACATTAAGATAAGTCTCATCAAAAGTTGTATGGTGAATTAGCTTATACATCAACTAGGAATGGCTTGATGCTCTTTTTACAACTGTATTACTCAAACCTCGTTTTAGAAAATTTTCTTACTTTGTCCTAAGTGGCAAAATGGCTAAGACTGAAAGTTGCTCAAGTCAAAATTTCTCCCAATTCCTAGAAAATTCGACGAGGGAGATTTCACCGTATACTGTGGTGTGAAAGGGAATGTCCTAGAAGTTTTGGGAAATGAGGAATGAATTAAACGGAGGAGTTCTGACTTGATTTTATAGGCCCAGTGGAGAATGATCCTTGCTCAAAGGCTAGCAGAAAATCTGCGAGCTGAAAAAATGGCAGCTACGCAAATTCAAGCTTCATGGCGAGCGTACCGCACAAAACTTTGGTTCAAACGTTTCTCAGCAAGTATAGTACCTTTCCAAGCGCAAGCTCGAGGCTATCTCGTTAGAAAACGAGTGAAACAAATGAGGCAAAGGGTAAGTAGACTAAGTTTTTTCTCAAACCTCCTTCTTCTAATTTTTTTTTTTTTAATTTCTAAAAAAGTATAATAATGGAGTTTCACATTGAATCAATATTTTAGAAGACCATAATATCCATCGTAATGAAACGGATGGAAAATTGATTTGGAAACTTTGAAATTGGCAATTTCATTTTAACACCTTCATCTCTAATTGTGCTCTTTACAAAGAAAGGAGTCAGACTGTTTAAACCAGTAGGTTCGATCCCAAATCTTCCTGAATCCGAGTCTGAATTAAATATTTTCATCCTTGAACTCAAATCCTTCGCCCTTTTAATTAACATGAAGTTTACATTGTTTAAAGTTTTGATAGTTGATCTATAAGTTAGCACTCTTTCAATGCGATGACATTTTAATGGGAGAATTCGCCCCCTGTATGTTTCTTCTCATTGAAAAATTAGAGAAATTTCTGCTTTTCTTTTCAGGAAAAGTAGGAATTTTCTGCCAAATCATCAATCCTGTTAATGTGATTTGAAGTAATGAAACAATGTGATCTGATTTGAGAGGTTCTGTGAAAGGTGTGATTTTCAAAGTTTGGTATATTAGCCTATTTGACTTAAAGTGTGAGGGATTTTTACTTAAAATCTGAATCTTTTTCAGGATCCAGTTGAGTTTCAAGCTTGAGGAATTTTAGATTCTTCACTAATATGAACTTTCCTTATAGTTTTATTTCAACTGTAATTTTTATTTGATTTTTTCAGCAATTGAAAACGGTTATTAAAATCAGTTCGTCAGATTTACCCGTAAGCTTAGCATCAGATAGGCTGTCTCCTGCTCAACTTCCTAGTCCAATGTAAGTCCTTTAGCTCCTCATTGTAGTTCATTTTCAATTGTTTAGTTATCAAATGTTTTACCTCTCATGGGTAACTATCAGGATGGAGGAAACAAGTAGCTGTTACATATTTTGTTTGTTAGCTTTTTTTCTTCTTTTTTTAAGTGGTGCCAATTTTTCAGGACTGTAATTGACTAAAGGTAGGCAAAAACTTAGTCCATCTCAAGAATTTTTTCTACCAAAGCACTAACAAGTGCAATTTTAGAAGTTAACAAGTCTAATTTTACTTTTAAGAGGGATGAAAATATTTTTAAGTATCCTCTCTTTGCATGCGCTCAACTACTTAAAATGACTGAAGCTATTGACAGTGGCCGTTGATTGAAAAAAAGCTAACTCCATAAAGTAGGAAATGATCGGATAAAAAAGTGTAAGAAATTAATATCTAATTTTTGATAATCATAATGAAAAAACAAGAATGAACACGCCTAAACAAACATAATTCTGAAGTCTACAACTGACATACTAGTATGTACTCTAGCTAATATTTTCGTTTTTTTCTATTTTGTAGTGATTTAAGGCAGGACCCTGATGTCCATTACGGTGTTCAGTTAGCAAGTATATCTGAAAGCTCAGAAAGATTCGCTAGTTCTCCTTGCGATAAGGAAGACTCAGTGGACTTAAGGTATTTACTCTCTTTTACAATCCAAACCCTCTCAGATTTCTTTGTTTTATTTTACCTCTCACACTGACTTTAAGCTGGCATTCATGCCAATTACTTCCCTCCAGTGGTATCTTTATCCAACAGAACCAACCAGTTTTTAGAACGGACGTAATTGAATTCTATTGCTTGGTTTTGCATCGTTCATTAACATCAAACATTTGTTCTCCCAGAATCATAATCCTTCTGTCAAATCAACTGTTTGTGTTGATTGATTTGATTATAAATACAACAAGTTGTACGTTGAAGTTGATGGACCAGGGTGGCTAGCGATGGGGATATCCGGAAAAATTCAGGGAATTTTGTCAACAGTTAGGGTTTTTTTTTTTGGAAGCCGGGTTCCATAAAGAAATCGGGTCCGCAATGCGTTGATGTGCCAACCGGATGGCGCTCTCAAGTGGTGTTTCCGATGGCTATAGGTCAAACAAAAGTCAGGGAATTTCATTAGAAGTCAGGGAATGATAAAATGAAATTTTGCTAGCCACCCTGTAGACTCGGATTTTTATTTCCTTCTCCAGCAGTCCTTTTTTTGTGTGTTGTGGTACTTACATTTTTGTCCTGTTCCATTCAAACTTTTTCAAGTATTGAAGCTGTTATCCCTCTTTACCCTATTAAAGAGACTATCTAAAAGTGAAAGGATTGCCATAAGAACAAACACGTGTGCTGGTCAGTCTCAAGGCTAATTTTACCTCACAAATATCAGACTATACTGTTGTATTTTATAAGGCATTATCATAGCTCCTGATTTTTGAGTAGACTAGTTCAATTTTGCGTTTATTCTAATCAATTAAGTAACTAAAATGAATATTTTTCATAATTTCAGGATCAACAATCCACAAGAAGATATTTTAGGCATAGATAGTAAACTGAGGTCGATGAAGCTAGATTCAAGACCTAGTTCAGAGGATTACCCATTAGGTAAGTAAAGCTATTTTTATATCCTGCAAAAGAGTAACTATATCTGGTTGATGACGGTAGTGTAATCTGCTCCCAGAAGTCCACCTTGTATTTTGGAAAGTAGATGAGTCAAAAGAATGGGAGCTAACCTGAAGTATAAATTCTTCCAATAAGGGACTCTTATAGAGACTGGTACAGGCACATAATATCCTCTCTGCCAAAATACTTGAGGGGAAACAAGAGATGTAATTCAAACAATGAGCTGCGTTGCATCTCTTACTTATAGTGGCAAGGAAGAGGTCTACCTCTCAGTAGTGACTACCATGATTAACCCATTGACTTATGATTTAATTTGACCCTGCCGGGCCAGAAATTACAATTTAATTTGGCGAAAATCAGTAACTTTGAACACTTCAAAATAATCCAGAAGTTCTCTCTCTAAGATTGAAAATTGACACAATAAGCATTCACAATACAACGTTTGAGAAAAATGGTGAAAACTTTGAACACAATGATTTTATTATTGTGGTTTATAGCTGTCAAAGTCGCAAAAATCACAAGATCAGCGAAAATCAGAAAATTTTGAGGTTATTTCATGCGCAAACGCACAGTAATATGAAAATACCGTAACAAAACAACAAATTACTGTACGCAATAAGTCATAGGCTGGCCACACTACTCATATAAACATTGATGAGAACGCAATCTACCGGAGAATCGCCAAAATAACGCAAACAGTCAATGGACGGCTCTGAGCCGTCTCTTCAGATCTGGCCCAGCGCAGCGCGGACGGCTGGGAGCCGTCGGTTTAAGTCAATGGGTTAAAATCATGGGTGGGTATCAATCATGGGTGGTATTATACATATTTTGTTCCTTCAGCTTCCGTAGTCTGCCTCAATGGCAGATACTTCTGAATCTTTGCGCATTACCTTGCAGCTACATTTGCACTAGCTTTTGGCCTTTAATATATACATATATATTTTTCTTTTTATTTACTGTAAGTATGTATGTAATTCAAACTCTGAGGGTTAAAGAAAATAGAGAAAATCTCAAAGTTGATTTGAATGTTTTGAACAAGTTTGGGCGTTGGACAGCTTTTTTGGAGCCGTAGAAAATTTCATAAACATTTTGTCCAGGGAGTTGACCTTTTCGAAAAAGTTTTTTAAAATTTCTTCAACATTGGAGTATTTTTAGCAATGGTTTGCGAAGTAATCCATCCAATAAAAAATTGGTCAAACAAGTTGAAAAAAGTGTCTCTATCATAAAGCACACTACCGTAGCAGACATAACATGTAACCCTTGTGTATTTATGCAGTAGGATGAGTGAAAATCGTAAACAAATTTACAGATTCATCAATGAAATCCCTTATTTTTCAGATAAGAAAGGTAGCAATGATTCTTTATCATCGCAACGAAGTGATTCTGGAGCACCAGTCAGAGATAAACTCCATAAAGCCAAAAAACAGTTCCAAGCCTTAATAGGTAAATACAAATAATATCTCATTCAATTATTGTTCCTATCTTTATAAGTACTGAGGGGCAGGTGTGGCAATTTTGGCATTGAGGTAACTTCAGAAAAGGTCGATTCTGAGATTAGGATTCAATCAATGGAAGTTTCACATGACGGAATCTTTATTCTTGTCACATTCGACAAACTGACTGTAAAAGTTGATTGCTCAGTTTTTTCTCATCAGTGTGATAACTTTCACAATTTTGTAGTATGAAAAAAGAAGTTTTCATTTTGGATGACCCTGATTATCAGTGTTGTATATCAGCAGAAGAAATTAATTTACTAATTTCTCATCGTGGGCTCAAGAAAATATGTATGCCCCTATCAGAACAAATCACTGAATTTTTTTGGCTTTGACCTAATGATGAACTTTACTATATCTTATCAAAGTTTTATCAAAATATACCAAAGTCAGCCTAGAGACAACAAAGAATATGGTAGAAATTTCCGATTTTTTCACAGTGTGGGTACAACGTGTTGTCAATATTGCTGCAAAATCCAAAATTCTAAGTCCTCTTTAAGGTTCTCTTCTATGGAACAGAGTTAGACTCTATCAACATTAATAATGGCAAAAGGTTCGTGGTTGGGTAGCTGGCAGATGCTGTCGCACTCACATCTTAAGTGCCACCCTGAGTTATTGTCAACACTAAGTAGTAAAAAAACATGGAGGATTAAGGGTATATTGGTCTCCAGGCGGAAGTAGGATCAGAGCTGTGGAGAGAGACTGCTTTTGTCTGGTATCTAAAGCCTTGTCTTCAAGAGATGTGTTCCCGCGATTTGTCGCATGGAAAAATCGCCTTTGCAAAGTCGTGACAAATAAATATTGTTTTGTTCCCTCGATTTGACCCCACAATAAAAAATTCCAAGGAGACAGGGCTTCAAGCTATTTTCCCAACACAACATATCATTCCATTTTAACAACTTAAGTCCTCGGTAACTCTGCAAAGTTTCAAAAATAATTGATACGCAGGACAAAATGTACTTGAGCACACTTCATCTGGTAAAGCAACTCTTAACGCTACGATAATATTGTTAAGCAGGTATTCAAGTCCCAAGCACTAACCCTTATCTCTCATTCTTCTCTAATTTCTTGGTCCTTTTTTTTTGTACCAGGTCCAAAATCGAAAAAAATGGAAAATGGTTCCGAATCAGCATACTCTGATTCAGAAATAGACAACAACAATGATGTCATATGGACAAAACAGTCAGAACCTTCAAAGCCCTGCTTGACGCGATCACCTCGCATCACAGGTGATTCCCGGTTTTACTACTCAGCAGACCATGCTAATTCAATCGGTGAGCGAATGCGACCCCCTCAGGAGCCGCAGGCTCCCGCGAGAGGAACCAAGCGCAAAGAATACTCATTTCCAAGTGAAGACTCAGAGCGGGGAGAGAGGAGCGCTCCAGGCCAGTACAAGCAGAACAAATGGACGCTCAAAAGGTGGGTGAATAATTACTGTACTTCCTTCCTCCAAACAATTCCTCTCTAACAATTCTCCCTGAACAAATTCATCAATTTTCATGAGACGCAAGATCATATGAGCAATTTAAATAAGATCTTTCTGTCAGACCATCCGAATTCCCCTCAAAAATTATTTAATAAGAATTCTCCGTTTCAGTTTTTTCATATCTCTCCAAAACTTACGTTGATACATAATAATATAATCTTTTGCCTCTAAGTATTGGAGTCGGTCATTCAAATGTAAAAATTTCAATGGATGAATCTAAATTGCAGAAAGAGTGCGTGCCATGGCACCCTTGTTTTGTGAACAGAACTTGCTAAAAGTTTCCCCATCTATTTTAATTCGTGGAATATGAACTATACCGATTTACTTTTTGGAAGACCCTCTTACAATTGGATCCCATTTTGCAAAAAGGAACCAAGAGCATTCCAATGTTGCGAAGATTGTGCAACTTATATTCTTAGTAATAAAATAATTGAAATCATGCAAAAATGAAACTTCAAAAGGTAATTTTCGTCTTGAATGAAGGTAAATTTCGTCGGGAATAAAGATAAATTTTGTTTATATGATCAGTTTATACTTGCAAGGTAAAAATAGTTGCACAATCTTAGCGCCACTAGAATGTTCTTGGTTCCCTTTTGCAAAATGCAATCCAATTAGTTGTAAGTAACCGAATAAAAGTTTTGTACCAAATAGCAGGTCATCTGTACAAGCATTTTGATATCATTGATTTGTTATTTAATAACTGAACAAGTGAACCTCTTGTTATTTTCTTTTAAGACTGTCAACTTACCTTTTAAATTTTTTCTTCCCCTCTGCAGTTCTATAGGGAAGGATTTGAAGCGACGTAATTCAGATCCAGCTGCTCAGAATATTATAATCACAGATAAGAAAAAAGAATCAAAGTATGAACACAAAACTCCAGTCAGCAGTTCACCCTCATACGAACTTCTTGAATGGAAAGGAACAACAATATTCACAATTGCAGGCCACAAATTCCGAAAACTAGCGCGCTTTTCAAAAGAGGACCGCTGTGCCTACTGTAATAAACCAATGGACGCATTTGTTACCCAGGGACACAAATGCTCAGGTCAGTCACTCTCAATTTTCTATGTATACATAAACTCTGAATATTTTAATGCTTGTAAATTGTAATTAATTCATGATGAGTAAATCATTTTTTTCGAACAATGCGATCAGAAGCGAGACATAAGAGGAGGGTAGGCTAGTATAAATGTATGAAACTTTATATAAACTTTGACAAGCATTTATGAAAAATAAGGGCAAAGCTGACTTTTTCATGAGTGAAGTGAATGTATAGCAAAAAGGTCTTGCCAAGCAGTGGTGGATTTAAAACTGGCACCTTGGAAAAAACTTGGGCAATGAGGAGCAGGAGCAGCAAATAAGTTTAAGCCATGGGTACACTAGCGCATTTTGCTTTACTTGCTTATTAGACAAGTTCATTGAGGTCCAATGCTCAAAGTTTTAAAAGTTTTTGCCTAATCAAGGATATCTGGAAAAAACGATGTGTTTCTTTCTTCAAAACTCATGAGTTCAGTTTATTATACTTAACTTTTATGCCCATCCGCTACCCTGTCATATGGTTCACTCTCTCACTGTGTTCATACATAACTAGTTCTAACTTCCTTGTGACTGTTTTTGCAGATTGTAAACACATATTCCACACCAAATGTATTCAGAACGGAGGTGTCTTAAAAGTTCCGTGCCTGCATGCAGTTGGAACTGATGGCGGAGGGGGGATCTGGAAGTACCGAAAGCAGTCAAGGGTTGTAGCAGAAAAGTCTAACTCCCAAACTTCACTCAACTGTGATCGTATCGCATCAAGTGGTGGGAAGTTCAGTCTCACAGGAACATCTGAGTTCACGGATAGTACAGACAAGATCATTTCCGATGCGAGGGAGCTAAAGCTTATGCAAGATTTCATCACCAAAAAGGTAGGATTATATACATTTTTGGCCTTGTTCTACTGCTGCTATTTTCTATGAAAATCTCGTCAATAGACTTTTTCTTATCTGAATTGTCAAAAGGTATGTTCATTTGGAGTTTAAATTAAATCGGAAACAAACTCTCAGGATAGATACAACAACAAGACTCAACATCATATTTAGGACAGGATTCTTCTTCATTTTATTATTTTCTCAGAAGTCTCTCTTGATACCAACATTTCCTATAATTTCTGTGCCCAAACCACTATTAGTCATGCTGTCAGCTCTTCTATCTCAAATCAACCTCAGGAAACTGCTCAAATTATAAAATACTTACGCATAAGCACTCTATCTTTCTACTACATGCTCGAGTTAATTGAATAGGTATTTTAAAACCCTATCCAGGAATAAGTAATATAAAGGAAGGGAAATTAAACGGATGTTTTATCATGAGGAAATGAATATCATATCTTCATGATATCTTAAAATATCTATAATCAATTCCTGATCTTTTTTTCATCTCACGATGTTGTTTTGCATCTTCCATTAATTAAATTTTAGGCTCTTTGAAGTTTGAGTCTGCGTTTTATTGGTTTTTATCGCAGATTTTTCAATGTGAAAAATTATTTTTGTTAACTGATAAATTGGATGAGTCATCTTTTTTCTTTGGCCATAAATGTCTTCAGCCAATGGTTAGTCTTTTATTCTGACAATTGATTAAGCCTAATTCTGAGAATGAGTTTGCGAACAAGCAATAAGTGTAGTTGGAGACTTTTGAGGATGATCAGGGACCACAACTGAATAGCTTGCCTTTGAAAACCGCTCAACTCGAAATTATCAACTCAATGTTTCAGTTTCCTTCTTCACTTTTTTTTCGGTGGAAAGAAAACAAACGAAAATATTCATTCATTAATTGCCTAATATCTCTGTGAAGTATAGAATCTGAAATTGTAGAAAACGTCTACTAAATATATTGACTGCTTTTCTTCACTAAAGTAAAAATTTGAACAGAAAAACTGGAACATCGCAATAAAGTCAGGCAGTTTTTAAAGTGAGCCGTTCCATTGTCAACAAGCCTCAGAACTTGTATACAGCAGGCTAGTACCGTTGCCTTTACTGCTGTAAGTGTTCTTCGGAAAATCTTTCACAGTCGGTGGCTCCAGCAAATTTTCAAGGAAAAATCAAGAGGATTTTGTAACAAAGAAGAAAGTAAACAAACTCCATTGAAACATCTCAAAGTTTTTATCTTTGTATTATTTTTCCAAAAGTAAAACTCTTTCTGAACATTTTAAGGGAATTCCCCCTACAAAACAGGAAAACCCTAACTGCAATGTTGCCCAGTTTTCTCTGTTGACAAATATTTAATATAATTGGAAATTTAGCATCCTCCTTGTTGTGTGGATCTCTTATGGTCAGACAATGGCTAAAAATGCTAAGTATTAAATGTGCACTAAACCCTCATATTACGGCACAAAACAATAATTACGACATTACTTCTTCGTTCTCAGGAGATTCTTTTTTTCCTTGATATTTTAATTGGTAACGAGTAAACGGTGGGAATTGTGGAATAGATAGGGAAACTACAATTTAAAAACCACAAAAATGGTAGAGAAAAAAATTAAGGAAATCGTGATTGAGGGCCTGAAGGAGCAAATTGTTTTGATTGCCTGAAGTTGTCAATTCTGAAGATTCTTTTAAGAGTCGTATGAAGTGAGGGTCGATTAAGATCCTGGAAACCCAACTTTATAGCATTTGATCAACCAGAAGAAAGACTGTTAACTCTTAAATCTTAAACGAAGGTAATAGTTTCAAACGTTACATAATAATTTTAGTTTGACTAGTATTTTCGGTTTCATCACATCTTGCTGTTTGTCTCATTTTGCCATTCGGTGACGTTTGAGTATTTTTTCTCCAGCATCATATGTTCATTGGGATTGTAGTGAATCTGGAGTCATCATCATAAATTGCTTAAAATTTCCTGTTCATCGTATTAACTACTCCATCTCTTAAATTATTTTTTCTTGAATCAACAACCCTAAAGTTAGAGGATTTGTAACTCGAGTTCCATTAAATTGAGAAACTATTGTAGACAACATAGGCAAGAATAATGAAGTTACAGGTGATTCCAACGGCAAAGCATAAAGCTCTGGCAGGCTGCGGTATCGTGAGGAGGTAGACGAGTGTGTGGAGGTATCGGGCTATGGTGTAGATCCGAAACAGCCATTTGGCTAACATGACGTGAGGATCAATTGAAACAAAAAGGAGACTGGACATGAAGAAAATCGGAATGTTTTCCAGGTCGTTGAGATGAGCCCTGCAAGAGAAAAAAAACCAAAATAATAGTCCAGTTTTTGCCAATTCATTGATATACCATGTAAGGGGAGGAGAAAATGAGTCCGCCACAAGCAGAAATTTTTGTTTTATTATTTGTTCACCCTATTCCTTGTGTTACAATTGGTTTTCAGATCACTTTATTTCAAATATTTCATCTCTTAGAGTTTTACAATTAATTATATCAACTTTAGAACTGCAACATTTTAAAATTGAAACTTGCCACTATTAGCTGCAATCAATACTTACTTTTCCTGCTACTGATATTTTACTGAATTCAGAAAAATTCTATCTTTGAAAAGGATCTGCCAAAATAATCAGTTTCTATCCCTTTGGTAAAGTAACTTCAATGTATTTTCTTAGCTGTCCTCCTGATGCCTGTGTCATGAAATTCAATCAAAGAAAGAAAACAACAAGATCATACCTTCGAACTCTCTCTACATCAGGATCCTCGCGGACCTCAGAGCCCTCAGCAAGCTTTGTGTCCTCAGGACTAATAAATGCCTGTTCAAATGAGAAAATGAGGGAAAATTAGAAAACAAAGTCTTAAGCTAAATATGTAAAATTTGTGCCACCATTTTGAAGTTTCTTCATTTCCAACCTGAAAGAAATCTTTTAAGAGTTTGAACAGTTGTCCACCTTGTGGAATGGTGTGTTTTTGCAAAATAATGGAGCATCTATAAATCAACAAATTACGCGACTTTTTTTCTGCAATAATCAAGTCGGAAAAAAGGCGGAATCCATTAAGTACTACTCATGAATTAATTAAAATTCCACTCGAATCATGATGGAAACTCCAATGTTTTAGAGCATTTTCTCTCTGACAGGCGGCTAGAGGGTATGGTGGACGCCACGAGCTATTGCAGTTCCGACTTCACAGCTCAAAAATACAGTTACGAACTCCTAAGGGGAATCATTGAATTTTATTCTTCAACTCTGGAACTTATTTTAGTGAGAAGTTTCAAATAGTAGTGGGGCCGGTTCCGATTGAAGTTGTTAGTCCTGATGTGAGTGAAGCTGGCTTTGTATTGATGACTGTGTTGCGAAACCTTGTGTCTCCGTTTGCGATGTCGCTAACTACCTGTCATACTTCATGGTTTCCTTAAAAAACTAATCAATGTAATTTATCGAAAACTTCCTTGATTTTTCTTCTCCATTAGCAGAATATTCTGTAAAAATTTCAAGGTATTAAGTTGACTTCTTTCTTCTTGAAAAAATGAAGTAGAAGTGGAGATTTTAAGACATTGCATTGAAGATGCGTGGTTTCGTACTCCAATCATCGATGTTTCTCTATCTATTTTGACATTTCGGGTCGTTGAGCCAAGTTACGGAGGTCGTTGAGAAGTGAGATTCCCAATTTTATATCCTCAGAACGGAAATTTGGTAAACGGTACATTTTAGGCATACTTTCAGCTTTAAATTAAACCCAAGTTATTGATAACAATGGTCAATACGGATCAGTTTGCCACAAAGTCATCACATGACTCCGAGTAAATTTTATTCCCTAAAAATGGAGTGTTTCTGGAGAAAAGTCAATTTTTCGGATAATCTGTGCACAATGGAGATATAGTAATGTCATATACGGATTTAACAGCAAAAAATACATCGGAATCCAAGTATTGAATGCTTACCTATTAAAGTTTAATTAAAATTCCATTTGTTTATAAACAAATGGAAATGGAATGTTTTTATAGGTTTGATCTATCTGTTTTGGTTCGGAAAATATCTGATGGAAACCTTACTTCCCGGATGACCCTCGTTTATTTCCATCTCATTTTCCGAAGGCTTATACTGCCGTGCCAAGGAAGAACGCCGTATGAACATTCGAGAGTTGCCGAATTTTCGCGTTTAAAAAAATGTATTTTTGAGGAGACTTACGAATATTTTCTCCTGAAATTTTCGGATAATTTAGATCTAATTATGAAAAAAATTCTCTAAAAAATTTCATGGAAAATGTTTACAAGCTGCTCTGAAAATTCGTATTTAATCAAAGTAAATTTGGCAACTGACGAAGGTTCATACGGTTTTTTTCTTAGTATGGCAGTATAGATACATGTTTTTCTTGTATCCCTTCACTTAGCTCCGGAAATTTGGTTTGTTGGAGTGAACTTCGTGAGTCAACTAGAACAATGTCGAGATAATAATTCTGAAGTTGAATCAATTATTCTCATTCGGAAAAGTAATCATCGACGAAAACGATGCGCGGATTTAGAATGATTTTACCAAATTCGGAACCTCTCGTTGACTAATGGTTTTCTCGAGATAAAAAAAGGAATATTTGGAATGTAAGATAAGATAGGATTTACAACAACCAGAGGACGTTCAGCCGCGGCATATACGCAGGAGTCGACTGACAATGAGAGATAGTGATTTTGCCATCTTGCGTTAAAAATCCATCATTGCGTGCCGCAGCTAGTAGTCGCTTGCCTAATCTCGGCGTGCAGTTTTCATGATTGTATGACTTCATGACCTCCCCAAACTTTGAAGTAGAATATTAGAAGATTCTATTGTGCTAATGATTAGATAGATCAAGATTAGATAGTCCCAATTGCGCCCACTGTTCTCTTTGAATAATCGTATCCAGTGTTGCGTTAAACTATCAAAAAGCATGATAGGTAGCAGAGTTTTCAGGAACAGAAATCCGATTGTTATAAAATGCCATCAAATTGCTGCTTAGTGTTCATTAAATTACGCACAATCGCGTCAGGTATCCTATATTTCAGCGCTGAAAATATAGGATAAATTCAGACGGTGTATTCTTTTTTAGCTTGACCAGAGCAGCGGTTTATACACACACAAAAGGAAAAAAACAGGGAAAAAATGCTGATAGGACCAACCCAAACTATTTTATTTATATTTTGTATTAGTATTGAGCGCTATGAAAGAATCTTAGAGCAGAGGTTGGATAAAGAAGTATTTTGGGGAGAAGTGTGTCTTTCGTTTTGCCTGCATAATTATTTTTATCTTCATCACTTTGTTTTAGTAAAATTTCTTATACCTCCGTTTCAAACCCAGCAGCATGCTT